CTCTATTCAAGATGAGAAAAATTTTAAATATTTTACAATTAATAGAAAAAACGTATATCAAATTTAGTACAAAACGTATTATCAGTGGGATTATTTTAAAATTTCCGTGAAATGTAAGATAGAGGGTATTTCTAATAAGCCCTTGTTATGCAAACTATTTATTCGCACCGTAGAAAATTGCTTATTCTTTAACAAATAAATTTCTTTACTTCTTTAGCAAACAAAACATAACAGACTGTTAACGTCTTAAAACAAAAATGTAAAGAAAGATCTTCAGTCTTTCTCTTAATGAATTCAACAATTTAATTTATTTTTAATTAAAAATAATAAGCGCCGTGAATTGGCTCTCAAAAAAATAATCTCTATATCAATATGGAATTAATATACAGAGCAATAAAATTAATCAAGAACAATATAGTTTTAAATAGTTTTGCTTTAATTGTCCTAGATACAAGCTACTATTGTATTTGTAATAACTAAATTTTACAAAATTTATCTAATCAAACATAATAATCGGGAATTTTTTTTAATGTTACAATTTTATATGCACTTCCACAAAACTTCAAATATTTTATCAAATTTACTATAGGTTTTCGTTTAATGAGAGCGTATAATAAATAAATTAGTTTGTATTTTATCTATATGTATTTAATTATTTAAAAACAAATTCAAATAGGTTTCAGTAGTTCGCAGTGAATTTATAGTTAATAATTCATTATTCAAATGTGTCTACATACACGTTAAAAAGTAAATTCAATAAAATGCGCGTTAAATTCTCTTGCATACTACGACAGATGTCTACAAACAAATGTGATGTAAAACAAATGTCACGTTTGAAAAAATAAATGCCACGTAATTAATAATTACAATTGTCAGTCATAATAGAAATTTAAAAGTTTTGTAGATCTTAATATAGATTAAAAAGCTGAAAGAGCCAAATAACACAGATTTTCATAAATTGCAAAACAATGACTACAAATCGTAATATACTGCAAAAACATAGCGTTTTGAATATGCAAATGCAATATATTTTTAACTATTCTATTAAATCAACACAGTTCATATGATTTAAAGCGCGCTACTCTTAATAATTTCACTATTTCGTAACAATTTAGCAGGGTTTATAAACAAACTAAATTAATAACATTGTGTTTATAACCATTAGTACAGCGAATTTTTCATTTTATGTCGCGATTGAGTTTAATTACAAATTTTTTTGCTTACCAGCCTAATCGTGTATCTCGGTTTTTTTACTCACTTTTTATTCACTTTCAAATCGGAATTTTCCGTTTCTCTAATGGGTATTTAACTTTCCCAATAAGATTACTAATTTTTTCAAAATTGGATTTTTGTATTTAAATTATCGACTGAACGTCTCACCTTCAAAAACAAAGTGAATAAATTTGGTATACATTTTAAATTTTGTATAATTCTTCTCGTCCGAAAATTGCATTATACATAATAATTACTCACCTTCTTATCACTTGGCGAGTTAAATAGCGAAATAAACGATCAGGCCGTAATTTTCATAAAAATTATTGAAATTAAAAAGCAATAAAATTTGTTTTTTTAAATGCTGTCGTGAAACAACAAAGTGGTAAATAAATTCATGTGTAATATGTTTTTTAATTTTTCTATTTATAATATGTTTTCAACACCTGAACAAAAAATTAATAATTAAATTTTTAAAATAGTAATGAATCTTCTTTATTTTCAAACATCTATTTCCTATTATTTTTGTTGCTTTGGTTTTAATTATGTAATGTAAGAATGTTTGTATATAGATTTTTATATTTATTTTTAATTATTTAAAATAAATTTATAAATTTAAAAAATTTGACATTTTTATGTTGTTTTCTGATAGTTATTAAGCTATTTAATATAACACTGATTTTATACAGAGCTTTTAATTAATTAATAATAATTTATAGGTCAAGTTGTTTCTGCGTTTTGGTGAGCGCGACAAGTAGGAACAAATAAAATACAAATTTTATGAGACCTGGTACGATTTTTGTTTTGTTTAATTTTTGTTTAATATTTTTGTTTAATATTTTTATTTTTCCAAAGTTAAAAAAAAAAATTAATAAAATTTATGAATGAAATTATGTAAATATTTGAAATAATTAAATTGGAATTATCACAATACCATAAAAAATGTTTAATAACTATAAAGAGTAAAGTAAGGTTTAAGTTTGTTTACAAATTTTGTAAGGTTTAAGTTTGTTTACAAATTACTTATACATACATATTGTACGTTAATTTTATTAAAAAATTACTACAAGGTTTTTAAATTGTGCATTTAGCAAATTTTATTGTTCAAAACCAGTTTATGATTTCAATTCTCGTTATGATATTTAAAAAATAGTTTTTATTTGAAGTTAAAGGCCGATTGAGCGTAAGCACGAGATTTAATATCTTTCAAATTTAGTATGATTTTTAAGACTCTTGTTTTTTTGCAATAAAATACTAAAGTAAGAAATAAGACTATTGCAAGGAAAGTAAAGATTTTTGGCTAAAAGTTAATTGCTTTATCAAAATAAAACAGCAGTTTGGTTGTATAGTAAATGAGTGAGTTTAATGAGTATAGTTAAAACTATTATAGTAGCATATATTGTGGTTTATTAGTTGGTATAGTTATTATTAGATGAGTAAGTTATCAGTATTTTGATACCGTTTTGTCAAAAATATTTAACTTTTAAAAATTTGCTAAAAATTTGCAATAATTTCAAAAATATTTTATTATAAAGTAAGGAATTTTATCAATATACGGTTAAACCTATCAAAGTTCGACCTAATGAGAGGCTAAGACGTGCTAAATGCAAAAAACATAAAAATTCTGTAGAAAATTTAGAAAAATTTAGACATTTTTCAACATTTTTAGCTTTTCAATGCCGATATTGATTCCGTTTTTTTCAAAAATATTATTTTTTTGATGAAGTGGAAAAAAGCCTATTTAAAACCGCGAAATTTTTAAAATAGAAAAAAGATTGCCATCATTCTTTCAATTCATTAACCAAGGGAGAAAAGTGTAAAGGTCAGGGAATTTAGAAAATTTGCAGTGCTATACTCTACAAAACTTGTCTATCTTGTAAACCTTTCTAAGTTGTAAAAAAAACTTCAATCACTTGTGATTGCACCTCTAACTGCAGTTAAATGTAAGGCTCTCTCCCGGTAATCATAGAAGAGTTTTAACCACTTATATAAACACTATAATTTTATTTTATACTTCAACTTCAAAATTTTCTGAGTGAAATAATATTATTATAGTTTTTTTTTTTTATAAAATATAACATACATATATAAAGAACACAGTTATGCTTCACCAGCATAAATTTAATAATATTATTGTAACATTTATAGGTACGTACCTATTACGCTTTTTTTTATTATAATTGTAGGAATATTATTACATTATGTACATTCATACTTATATATAAAATTTGATATGCCGCTGAACTTTTTTGTATTTATATGATCGTTATTGTATACAGAAAAGAAATTAATTTCGCTTTTCATTTTATTTACTTTTCTCTATATATTTCTGTCTATTATATATCGGCATATTATGACTTATATACATGCATATATCTATATATGAATATTTAACATAAGTATACATAAGTATGAATATAATCATGTATAAAAATATTTTCTTTTCAATTTTCTTTTACATACTTTTTTGTACTATAATTTTTTGTTTATACTCTAAATTTTTTACTTACTTAATATTTGTATTTTTCTTTTTTTATTTCCTATAGTTTTACAATTATACTCGTATGTATATTGTGAATTTGTGGAAGACGTACTTAAAAAAAAATTCTTTAGTTATATTTTCTTATTTTCTCATTCTTTCAGATACTTCTTCATTTCTTTTCACTTCACTACACTATAGGTACACCATATATATATTTATACATGTACATATGTGCATATATAATTCAAAATTATACATATATAAAAAAGGCTTCTCAATTATAAACGAGCGATAGTCAATGGGGTATTTCATTATATCATATGTACATACACATTCATTCATATACCCACGTATACTCCATTTATACATACATAAATACCTACATACATACACATATTATATGTACTTACATATAATATATAATATCATTATCATTGTTAAATTCTATTATAATAGTAATGATTTTACCCTATAGTGGAGCAATCGCCAAATCTATCTTTTTTAAAATGTACTAAACAAAATATTCTCACTCATTCGTTGTACAGTATACGTAAATTTGTATGTACAAACATATTGATATAAAATTTATATCCATATAAATATAGTATGGTAGGTAAGGTTATTGTATTAACATATGTACCTACATACATACATATATTATTGTATTGTTTGTGGCGCTGTTGTGTTGTGTAGCGAAACAAGTTAAAAACAAAAAGTAATTTCCAAGTCCTCAGTATGAATTTATTGTTTGATTAAAATGGACGGATTTTAAATATTTGGATTTTTATTTTGATTTATATCTTCTTTTTTTTACTTAAAATTATAATAGGAGAGACTATAAAATTATTAAAACAAAATGTAAAATATAAAAACAATTATATTTTTAATTTTTCCATTTTTAATACAAAAAAAAAAATATTTTAAATTTTAAAATTTTCATTAAGAATATTGTGTTTAGAAAACAAAAAAATGAAAAAATGAAAAAAAAAATTAAATATTTTGCAGACCGTAAAAAATAAAGTAATAAAATAAAAAATAATAATAAAAAATAATAATAAAAATAAAATTAACACAAAATATTAAAAATAACATGCGGAAAGATTAAAAATGCAATCCACCTGTAATAATATTTACCTTATACCTTGAAATTAATTAGAATGAATTAAAAAAAAAAAATCGAAAACAAAAGAAAAAAAATTATAACTTTTCGAAATTCCCTCGATATCTAAATATGGAACATATGTAGGCTTATATAAAAAATAAATAATAAACAAATAATGAAAAGTTTGAATTAAAAAGCAAAAACAATTGAAAATTTTTATTTTTCTAATTTTTATCAGCACATGCAAAAATGTGATACATTTAAATTTTAAATACCTAAGGTGTATACTGCGAATATATTGTTATTTAACATAACATTAACATAACATTAACAGTTTGAGAAGAGAAATACAAAATCAACAATAATAATAAACTTACTCCATACGTTATACATACATGCATATGAAATTTTATGTTTGGGAGAAAAAATTAAAAAATTTGTTTAATCGATTATTATAAATTTGTTTATTTTGTTTTCAATAAAATAAAAAAAACCAACATACACAAACACAAATGTATTTATTATGTAAAAATGTACTTAAAATAAATGCATCTAATAAGAATATTGGAAAATTATTATATTCACGCGTACATATTATTTTTACCGAATTCTGACATTACAATAGAAAATTCGAATTTAAATCTGTATGATTTTATAAATGTTAAATTAGAAATTAAGTAGCATTAAAAGAAATAAAATTATTTAGGAAAAAAGTGAAAATTATTAAACAAAAAAATGTATAAAATGGCTTGACAAACAAAAAAGAGATAAAAAAATAATAATAATTTACAATAATCTTAAAATTTAATATGCGATATAATTTAAAAATATTTAAATTTTATTCTTAATTAATTATTAATAATTACTTAAGTGAAATTTTAAAAGGTTTCGTAATTAAAACTATGAAATCACATCTATTTTCGAATATAATAAAAACTAAAGCATAAAAAAATTAAATTATTTGAAGAAAATAATTGAATTGCTTATACATTTTGAAAAACCAAAAAAAAAGTAAAAAAAGAAAAAAAAAACAAAATAACAGAAAAATTATATTAAAAGAATGAATTTCGAAATAAATAAATTTTATTTACGAATATCATTGAAAAAATTTTTTATTATATTTTTACTTTGGTTTCTATCATCATCATCATCTTCAATTACAACAACAACAACAAATTTTTTTAAATCAACAACAATAGCCCATGGTCAAGAGATCTCACGACGAAGTAAGTACATGCATATATGTATATATACTTAGCATAAGAACCTATATATACTTAAGCATCATTATATACATATATGTAATCTGTATATGGGAGTAATGTATTATGTAGTTATACTATATATCAATGATTTATATATAATATTCATATACATATATAAGTACTTGGAAATTATAAAAGTACAGTTAAAAATTGACATACCAATAGAGAATTTACCTTTGTTTCATCTTTTTTTTTTGTTTTACTAATAAAGTCCCATTCATTGTTATAAAAGTCTTGTAAAAAATGTAATTTGTAAGTGTAATATTTTAAATTACTTTTAATTTATAATAATGTAAAACAGAAAATTTTAAGTAATATCGGATGAGTATATACAAAAAAATATAAATATAGTTATATATAAAGTCAAGTGATATCAAGTACCTACATATATATACATACATACTTATAGTTTTAGTAATTATTATTGTACTTGCCTTAAAGAATTTTTAATGTCAGTAATCTGATTTTAAATCTGAAATTTAAAGAAAATTAAAATAAGAAAAGCAAAATGAAAACTCCAAAAATTAAATTAAATTAGAGATCCGATTTAAATTGTCATGGTCTCAGATTAAATTTAAAATACTCTTATATTATTGCATGTATATACATATATATACATATATAAATTAAATTTTGTTCGGGTGCCTACATTGAATATCATGTAATATAAGGACTAATATATCTAAATTTTTTATATACACATATAATATATGTGTGTTTAAACATATATAGTTATAAATCATATAATGTGAATAAGACAAATCCACATCCGATTCCAAAAAAATATATTAAAAATTATGTACATACATACTCACGTAGTTACATTTTACATTAAAAATAAAAAAAATTACAAGAAAAAAAATATTGTTTTAAGGAAAGAATTGATATTGAAGTTCTTCTTCTTTTTTATTGTAAATAATTTCTTTTTGCTTTCTTCTTCTTCTTCTTCTTCTTATTTTGAATTTGTTCATTTCTTGTTGCTTGTGTTTTTTATTTTTGCATTGAATTACTTTACCCATAGGGCCAAAATGTGTAGGATTACCTTTTTTTTTTCTTTTTTTTTTTTATAAGATTGTGATATTCATTCCTCTTCTTTGTTTTTGTTCAAATTGTGCATCAATGTTCGACATAACAAATACCAGTTTCTTGTTTATTTAATACAGAATAATCTATATATACATATATACATATCTATTTATTTATACATGCAAATGTATGTACATGTATTTTAAGCGGTCATATAATATTATATTGTAAGTACAACTATAATCTTCTTATTGTAAAAAAAAATTAAATAAAACGAAATCGCGGTTTTTTCTTTTTCTTATTCTTATAATGTGATTTTTTTTTGTTTTTGATTTTTTTTTTATTAAATTTCAATATTGAAAGCAAATTTTATCATAAGAGTTATAAGATTTATTTACATATATACATGTATAATTAGTTCAAAATTTTTAAAATTAGAGTACAAAAGAAAATTCTTTTATAATTGCTTTTTACTTATATTTTTGCTATTTTGGCTAAATTACTATAATTTTGGATATAAATAAGCATTTTTTCCAAACGATACTGATTGATCGTAAACTTATAAATACATATGAAAATGTAAAATAGCATTTATTAAAATAAATTAAATTAATAGTAATGTTTGTATACAGGGTGTTTGTATATTAACTTGTACGCCAAACGTCAAATTTATATAAGCGAAAAACAATTTTCTATTTCTTTACATTCACATAAAAGACATCACTATGAGATTCAACATCTCATTGAAGAATTTAGGTCCTCAACATGACATCTTTAACTGTAAGCTTGAAATATTTTAATTCATTTTTAGGATCCAGAACTTTTCTTATAGTTTGTGTCAAAGCATTCTGTATTTTTCGTTGGATGATTCATATATTGTCACAAATAGTTCATTTTCTTTCTTAATCTGACTATGTCCTCACCATAGTCTATGTTATTCTGTGTTATAAAACTATTCTAAAAATTTTTCAATGCCATCAATTCTCAAACCCGTTAATTTTTAAAACATTATTATTACCCCTATAAGTATACTATTTGATTTTTAAAAAGTTTTAGTATTATTATGTATCTATGTATACTTTAAAATAAAAAATCTAAAATTAAAAATTAAAATAAAATTATCAGTGAAATGAATATAAAATTTGTGTTTGGATTTGAGCAAAAAACTCTGTTCATCCGTTTACACTATATGTATAATATAAGGCATACTTCTAGGGGTTCACAATCAGAATCAAAAGAAAAAGTAGTTAATATATATATAAATAGGTATATTACAAAAATCTGCCGATATTTCTCAAAAAGCAAATCTAATTGATAATAAAACCGGCATGAATATTTGTATGTGAAATAATGTAAACATGTAGTCTAAGTGAAGAATTCAATCCAAAATTATTTTAAATTTTGCGTTGCCCAAAAAAATTAAAAATTTTGAAGTGGAAAGAAATTTTAATTTTAATATTTTCTTGTTATTGTTATATTTATTAATTAACAATTTTTAAGATTTTTTCTTGCAAAATTTAGTAAACCAAAGTGCAGAAATTGATCATATAAAAAGGAAAGAAAGAAAATTTTTCCAAAAACTTGGAACCAATTATTAATAAAATACATCTTATATGTATACATATATACATACGTATGTATGTAAATGATTTTAAAAATTGTTTAATAAATTTTATTTATGGTAATTAGGAGCAACGTTTTGTGTTTAATATTCAAAATTATAAAAGTATAAAGTAAACAAAAACAAAGTGCGCCGTTTAAGAAAATTTCCTTACTATATTTTGTTAAAACGAAAGTTCAAATAAATATTTGTGATCTCTAGAATGTTAACTCAGCTGTTAATTAATTTAAAATTTATTAATATAACCAAGTCGCATAAATGTTTGTATTTGGACTTAGTGTTGCAAGTTACTGAAAATACAGTAGTGATGAAAATAAAAAATTGCTTTTGAAAGAAATTTTTTAAATATTTTTAATAATTACTTTTAGAAAAATTTAATGAAAACCAAACTTTTGATTTTTTTCATAATTCAGTCAAGGTTCATAATTTTAATTACTTACTTCTATAAGAAAAACATGTAGATTGTTCCATAATTTTCATTAAAAGAATTAATCATATGACTTTCAAATTTTATTTTAAAAAATTAAATGTTTTTTACCATATTGCCTCATTTCACATTGACATCAAAAAGGTAAATTTTCTTTCATCTATCAAAAATTTGAAAACAAAGTGATTTGATTATATTCAAGTGCTTATGTAAATTAAGATATTCACTTCAATCGATTGTAATTTTCTTGAGATCCCAAACTTTTTATTGATTTGAATTCATGTAAAATTCATTTAAAGAAAAATTATTTCCTACACAGTTTTAATAAAGCCATTAATGAGCTTGTACTTTTTAACTTGAAAAATGCTTCTTTTAATGATTATATGACAAGGCCATAACGTGCTGACATAATATCGGCAAAAAATCAATGTTTTCCTTCATAAATTTAATATGAAAATATATTTAATATCAATTTCGTTAAACTGTTCAGAGTAAATTCAAGAATAATTCGCAAAATTCAAAAATTTCAAGAACAACGCCTAATAAAAAAATTTTCATATTCTATCAAAAGACAAATGGTGACTACGCGACTATATGAAGCGAATTGTTTATTTTGCTTATGTAAAATTAAATAATGTGTTAAAATTTTGAACCAAAATATTAAAACCGCAACAAAAATGAAAAAAACGTTTAATATATATTTTAATATTGTAATAAAAGTATTGTAAGTTACTCAAATTTTTTTTTGTATGTGCTACTACATTAATTAATATCTCAAAGTTTTTTTTTAAATATATACATTACTTAATACGTCAAAATTAGTAGAGGCAATTAGGAGGATCAGGAACAATGAGGGAAGAGTTTTAATCAAAAATCGTAAATAAATCAACACGCTTATTATAAATTTTTATTGTATATGTATAGCTATATGTAAATGCAAACACAAATGTCAACCTCAAGTTTTGCAAAAAAGAAAAGGAAATGCATGTAAAGCATGGGATGTGGTTTTATTTTGTGTGCTTTATCCTTTAATATCTTAATATCATATTTAATTCCTATGTGTTGATTTTATATTTATAATTTATAGAGAATTAAATTATTTAATGCAAAAATTTGTCAAGTAACTTGATAAATTGCGATAAACATTTCCTTTTTTTAGGAAAACGATGAGAAAAAGAAAGAATTCAAAAACTCAATTAATTATGCGTTCAATTAAAATTAGTCTTGTTTATATACTTGCTAATTGATCTTCTAAAATCGAAATATAAGTGAAACATGGGAATTTTTCAGAATTTTTGCCAATGACTTTTCTTAACTATTTTCATTTACTAAGTTTTGAAAAGATTGTTACAAAGCGAGAATATAAAGTCTCCAGCATCTTATATTCTTAAAGTATGCTTAGATAATGCTTAAGCTTTAAGTAATAATATTTTTAAAGGAATAACAAATAGCTGGGACACAAAATATTATAGTACGTACAATATGTATAAGCTGTAGGGGATTATTTTGTACATCTTCTTATATCTCAATAAAAATAAATCAAATAAAGAAATTGTTTTAAATAAATTAACTGTGATATATGTATAAATTGATTGACATTATTTTCACTCCATAAATTATATAAGACACAACTCAATTCTAATTTCTACATAATAATAATCTTTTACATATACTCTTAAAGATTATCAGTAATAATGAAATATACATAGCGGAAGCTAACTAAAAATTAATTATATGAAAACTGAAAACATAAGAAAATTTTAATTTCTCTTATTTATGCCTACTCCCGCCTCTATAATGAAATTAATATGATTTTTACTCACCTTCGTAACACAAAAATGCTTTTCTTATTCTTGTTTTGTTCGCGCTATTTCGTTTCAATCGTTAAATTTTAAAAGCTTTTAAATTTTATAACAATAAATAATAATTTGATAACAATAGCAAATTAAAAAACCATAAATACCATGGGTAAATGGTTTGTTTGTATACGATAAAGAATTTTAAAAACAAATAAATGATTGCTGAAATATGAGTGTTTTTTTTTTTGTACGTTTTAACTGATTATTGCCAGTGGTGGTTGTATTCTCGTATTTCGAAAAAGAAAAACAAAATGACTGTATATAATCATATCATTTTAATCTCATTAAAAAGTAACAGTAAAATATTATAATAATATTATGTATTTTCTATTAATTTTCACAATATTCGCATGGTACATTTTGTTTTGACAGGAATTACGAAAAATAAAGTACATATTATTATAAATATATATAAATATATAATAATGGTGTTGATGATTGTTATATAATGATAGAAAGTCAAAAGTAACAAACACACGTTATGAAATAGAGATTAAAATTAAAAACAAATACATGCACAACATATTAAAGAGAAAAGATAAATCAATCTTTAAAAAGCACATTTTCAACTCAATTCATTAAAATGATATGAGTATAACACAATTACATACATACATACATATGTATGTATTCAGGTACGCACATAATATCTATATATTATAAGAGATTAGAAGATCAAGACCTTGCCATCAACTTAACATTATTTAGTATGTTAAATAGGTGGTCACGCAAAATAAATAAAAGCAAATATTTAGGATTCATCATAAAATATGTACACGTATTATGTATATGTATGTATGTATGTGCATGTAAGTATAATGATAAAGTATACACGTGAAAATGTTCATATAGAAAGAAGTTAAAAAGTTATTTTTTTTTTTAACACTTTTTCGAAAATAAAATTTAAAAATGTACTTACTTGCTTCACTCCGTCCCGTTTCTCTGTTGCAGTATGTCTGTTTACGTATTACCATTTAAGATAGAAAGTTCAAATTTTATACACAAATAGATCTTTACTATCAACGCCTCTCTAAAAATTATTGCCCCGTAAAGACCTAAAAATGTCAGTCTTTTTCAATTTTATTTTTTAGATTTCGCTAAAGCAGAAAGCTAGCAACATGCCTCTTTTATTATGGAGCAGGAGTTGATTTATTATGGTCATTGCAATCAAATTTAATCGAATATTCTTTGTTTTTTTTTTTCAAATTTTATAGTTATTTAAACCCTTTCGAAATTTGTAAATTTTTAATTTTCCGCCCTAAACATTTCCAAAACTACAAGTTTTACAAAGTTCTTATAAAATCAAAAAGCTTATGGCGAATACCGCATGTTATCAATTATACAATTATTTATTCTAACTTACTTATACTTACCTGACGAATGCGACCATTATGATAAAGCTTCTTTCAACTCTTTTTTATTCTAAAAGTATATAATAATTTAAGATATTTCATTATTTTAATAAAAGTAATATATATATATGTATATCTATATTATAAAGCATTTCGCCTTTTAAAAATAGTTCAAGGGAAAAATGCTGCTTTACAAACCATTAGTTTTAAGCAAACTTATTATTTTTTTAAGCATGTTTAAGTAGTTACGTTTTTGTTTTTAGTAAATTAACATATACGATATTATATTTATGTATGACCAAGATAATTTTTATGGCACCATTAAAAATTTTTTAATTATATAATTAATAATAATATTCTAACAATTTTTATGATAATTTCTGTTTAATATATGAAGGTGTTTCGATACATTGTTATTTAACTAAGGCAACTTATTTATGAAAATTTACAAATTAAAATACCATCTCTTCCGGAAAAGTACATTGAATTTTCAATTCAAAGATCAATGCAAATACAAAATAATTATGTTCTTTTTGATTTAACTTAAAAAAAATTTTTTAATTACATATGGTATCAATAAACTTTTAAAGCAATTATTAACGAAAATATTAACTAGGATAACTTTAGTTCAATTTAAACTCCATGGCATTGTGAAATTAATCTGGGAGTAGCCACATATATCTAAAGATTTGAGATACAAAAGAACTATAAAAAAAATTTGATGTGATCAGCACATAACCGATCGCAATGTGTATTAACTAGTTAAGTGAAAGTATTACAAAATATTTTAAAAATGCCTGGTAAATAGGTTATTTACACTTCCCTACCATGGAGAAGGGCGTTCCCACCGAAAACTCGATATGCAAAACTTGTTGCCATCACATAACCTACCTATATTGTATACACAATGCGGTCGGAAATAATATGTAAGTGTTCTTTCTTAAAATTCTAAAATCTGGCCGTAAACTGAGTAAATTCAAATGTACTTCAAATATTGATTTTTTTCAAATAATTAATTAAGTTGAATTGTTATTAATCAATTAAATTAAGGTCATGTAGATTATAATAACGAGTCATGGATAATAACGAGAATATATTCAGCGGTTTCATAAATTCCAATGATGTTATGATAAAGGATTTTTTATTGTCTAAGAATTTCTTTAATTATCTTAAAAAATCTATTTTAGAGAAAAAATGTAATAGAACAATATAGATAGAATTGAAATTTAATATGAAAAATACGTCATTATGAAAAGACTAATTTTTATTTTTCATATCATTTTACTTATACAGTCATATATACATTCTTATAGTATTTATTTACACTCGCACATATTTATAATAAAAAATAAAAATAAATTATAATTAGTGTAATCGGATATCAAATTTCATGGTCATTATTTTTTGTCTCACTTAGGACTATTTGTATGCACACATAAGAGCTTATAGTTTTATTATATAAGTTACTCTAACAAGTCTAACTTTAAACGATTATATAGAAACCTTATATTAATTATGTACAAAAATATAATTAAAAGTGCGTAGCCTGCAAATATATAAACGGTAGCAAGTACAAAATATATATTGTGGTAAAAAATTATTTCGAACCGGCACAAAACATTGTACAAGTACAATGATTGTTATTTTATTCTAAATATCAAATATTTTTCTATATATTTGTAAATTTTGGATGATATTAGTGATAAACGATCAAATGAATAAATATACAAATTGTCACATAATAATGACTGTACATTAACTTATTCGACTCTATCAACCCATAAAAAAGTGCAATCCTACTTAAGCAAAATTTTTTTGTTTTACTTAAAAAGATTTCTCATTAACCAAGTTTTAGCGTTGAATATTCCTTCCCTGATTCAATCGCTGTTTTTTTCAGTTTCTTCTATTGTAGTCATTTAATAAGTAATATAAAATTTATACAAAGCCTTAAGAAATGTAACAACACTTGCGCTAACAGAAAATTAAAAAAAATGTTTGCTTGGAGCAAAAAAACTCCGCTTAAATTTAACAATGTTTTACGCTCGTATTAGAGCAAACTAATACATGTATACATAAATATATATATACTGATTTAATTGAAATTTAGAAAATTAGTTGCTACTTTAGTTGAAACTTAGTCAAATTTATGCAAAGTCATTTGGAAAATTTAGCGAAAAGAGTTCGAAAAATATTTTGATTATGATAAAAGTAAATTACTCTTTTACATGAATTTAATTGTACATTTAATAAGTGACTAAAAGTCCTCTTTTTCCCTGTATATGTCCTTTTATTTGGATACTCATTTTTTGAATATTTTCCTGTTGGTTTCCTATTTTACACTGTGTCAACATTTGTATAATATACATACATATATTTATTTCATGAAAGCTTATAAGCTTATAAATGCAAGAGCTACGTAAATATATGCAACATATACTTATGTATAAAATTCTGTAGGCGGGATGTGAACTTTTCTTTTTTTCGTTTTATTAAAATAGCGAACAACGCTTTTAAAGTGTCATCTTTTAATTATTTATTACTTGAAATTATAATTTTTTTAATTCCATAACATTTTCTTGATTTTTTAGCAGACTAAAAACTAAAAAAAATTTCAAAACCATAAAACATAATTTAATATTTTGGTTTTCTGTATTACCTTGTCATAGTATATAACTATTTTGCAATGTTAAAAAGACATATTTGTGATCAGAGTATCAGACGCGTCACTCAAATCAAATTTCAAATTTATTTATCAAATTTCTTAATTTTATTACAAGTTTGTAGAAAAATTAGTTTTTGCATTGACTTTATTTGTTCTCTTGTTTTTTATAAAATTGTAGTCACCCTGTTACACTTTGTATATATTTATTATGTGCATACAATAAAATTACATACATAATACTTATGCCTTCTTATTTTTTTTAAAGTTTTACAGTGAATTTATTAATTCAAGTAGTAAAAAATTTCTTTTCGCCCTTTTCCTTATAATTAAACTCAATTGCTAACAAAATATCAAGACTTATTTTAAAAAATATTTTTTTTTCTTTTATTTTATATACATGTAGTATTGATATACATACAATTGATGTAAACGATTATGTAAATCGTTTACATCAATTTGAATAATTTCCTTTAAGTAAAAAAAAAAAAAATACTTACATATTATAATTTATAAAGTTTGCCAATATAAATTGATCAATAATAAAATTGCAAAAAATATTTTCATTAGCATGACAATATTGCTTACAATATAAGGAAAATGAAATTGATATGACCTAAAAATTTTAAAAGCGAATCGATTTTATAATTTATTTTTATAGCCCATAATGTAAAAGTGTCTTTACATTGATTGATTGAAATTACTTTAGATATTAAAACATAAACAATGTTCAAATTTATATACTGCAACTTTAAAAGTTCCGAATGAATTGTAACATAATGTTATTACATAAATACGTATATAAATATGTATACATACGCAATTATGCAAAATATCATTTCTTTTTTTAAGACAATAAAAATAATATTTTTTTAAAACTAATTTCAAATATAAAAAATATTGTAAATACATAATATTACATAGAAAATAGAATAGCAATATACACAATACTAACTATGATTATAGCTTCGCAATACTTACATATTTTTTTATAATTTACTGTTATCGTTATAACAACTACATATTTTGATTCATTGTTCTCTACAAAATTAACCTTATTTAATAATATTACAATATTATACAAAGAAGTAAATATAAAAATAGATTCACATAATAGTTAAATTAGTATACAAAATAAATATATAATATTCATATAAGAAATTTAAGCCGAACCTCTAAAAAAAAACAAATAAAAAAACTATCAAATCATTTGTTGTTCGTAGAATTTTCAAGGTGGGAATAATTTTATTACAAACGTACTTTAATTTTAATAATTTAATACGGCGTACATGAAAAATGAATATCTAAAAATAATTTAAAAATAAAAATTAAATTATTTACTTAATTAATTTAAAAATTTTGCAAATGAAATGAGCATTGTACATTATTTCTTTTTATATAATTTTGGAATAAAAAATATTTTAATTTTTTAATTGAGACTTAGTCTTTCTTACAATTTCAATTATTTTAATCTATTTTAATAATTTTATATTATGTTTTTATTTTTCTTTTGAGTGCAAATGAATTATGAAAACTAAATTACCAAATTATCAAATAGTTGTGTAATTATAAAATACATAATCTGTCCTTACAAGAGATTCTATTACTAAACTCAAAATACATACATATGTACATATTATGGCATTATATAGCAATTTTCTTTTACATTAAAATTCGTACTATATATAGTTACTCTTATTAACGCTTACAGATTTATTGTGCTTAAATATTTACATATTATGTATGAAGCTAAAAATTCATACTTATTTGATTCGCACCAGAAATGCATATTATCGTCGGTATTAGGGAAGAGTCACAAAACTGCTTTTTTTTGTGTTTCGAGAAAAACACTTTTGAATATATGCACACTAATATCAATTTGCAGATACGTGTAAAATTTACAATGTTATTTTGACGAAAATACTAACGTTACAGATTCATGGGTTCTTTATAAAGATAGTTTAGAAAATGCTGAATTTTTCTGCATATACATATATGTAACTCAAAACACTTAAAAAAGGAGATTCGTGACTCTTCCTACTGAAGTTATGTAATAGACAAAATTTCAAATATTAAAATTTTTTTTTGAATTTCTTTATGGAATTTTATACATAATGTATAATATATTCATAAACACATACTTATTTATATACATATGTATGTACTTATGTATGTATCTTTAAAAAAATTTTATAAGAAAAGCATATAGAAATATTGCAATATAATTACATAATGAATATTATGTAGGCCATAACCAAATGCTTAACATGCTTTCAAAAGGTACCTTTATTATGTTTTAAAAAGTAAAACCAGATAAAATATAAAACTAAAATTGAAATTTTTAAGAATTCGTTGATTTTTCTACACCTGTTTATACATATAAACTAAAATAAATAGTTATTAATTAATACAGCTATTTATAATTTTTTTAATTTTAATTTAATGCTTTTGTTTTTAATTTAAAAATAAACTTTTAATCACTTTTACTTCTTTTATGTAAAGAAATTTATATTAAATAATTGTTTTTTTTTCTTTAAGGAACTAGCAATGTTTGTCGAGATCATACCGATTGTCCTAGAAATGCATTTTGCGAAAGAACACCAAATCTAAAAAATGGACAATGTGTTTGTCCAACAGGATATTTAATAATTACAAATGACGGTGGTGAAAGAGAATGCTATAGAACTGCAGCAACAATTGGGGACTCATGCATGTTCCATGAACAATGTATGATAACGCTAAGTACAGAATCTGAATGTAAATTGGGTAAATGTCAATGTCAAAATGCAACGCATTTTGTTGAAAGAGCAAATGCCTGTTACAAAAGCGTTCGTAAGTAATAAATAGCTCATAATTTCATTACGAAAAATTATAATAAAATTAAAATATTACTAACTTATTGAATTCTTTACTTTCTAGGAGTTGGAGAGCATTGTTCTTTTACAAATAATTGCCTCGGAGAAGGGGTAGTTTGTAATGCTGGTTATTGTACATGTCCATTTGGAAAACATCCAAATTTTGATTCAACAGACTGTGTTAAAGATATACATTTGGGAGAAAAATGTCTTCACGATCAAGAGTGCCTTCCAACAAATTCAAGATGCCAAGATGTTTGTATTTGTAGAAATGGTTTCTCAAAAAGCATAAACAATGATACTTGCTTAAAAGGTAGATTGTTTAACATTATTATTTTAATACATACATATGTATGTATATGTATGTACATATATAAACCTCATGTCATATTTTTTCATAAAATTTTAGTTTCAAATCATGTGTACGATATTTGTCAAGAAGATAGTCAATGCACAGAAATTCTTCCACATACTAAATGTGATGTTAATCATAAAATATGTGTTTGTGATTTAGGTTATCACGAAATTAAATATGTAAGAAAAAAAATGAAATTATTTTCAATTATCTTATTTTTTTTTTATATTATTAGAGATGCTGGGTAACAGTTTCACTAGGAGGTGTTTGTGAAGCTAGCGAAAATTGTGCAACAATTGAAAATTCTATATGTCGAAATGAAAGATGTATTTGCAATGAAAATTTTAAAGAAATAAATGGACTATGTTCATCAAGCCAGATCCTATCAATATACCAAAGAATATTAGCACTTACCATTTTAACAAATATATTGTTTTTAACATAAAAAGACAAATTAATATAATATTTGTTTTATATTAAATTATTTATTTTGTTTTTTGTTAAGCATTTTGTGCACAATTGATTAATACAATATTTAAATTATTAATATTTATTTTTATGTATAAAAAATTTTACATTTTTTTTCTTTTTTAAAAATGTACAAACATTTTTTTTTAAATATTTATCAAGAAATTTGATATATAAAGTAGGTATAAAACTATATAATTAAGGTACAAATATAATACAATATTTAATTTACAATATTTAATTTATAAAAAAAAATGTTGAACTGGACTGTTCCATAGTACTAACTACACTTAGATCGATTCAAAAGAAAAATATAATTAACGACCTTAAATTTTTAATTTATGTAACAATACTGCTGGATATAATAATAAAATTCCACCTAAAACATAAGTTAATGTTGATCCAAAGCCCCAAAATGCTAAAATTTGTAATAAAAATATGTATATTCAAAATATTTAAAATTTGTCGTTTTTTAAGCAAACCTATAGATCCAACAAACGGTCCTAGAGCTCTGGCTAATGCACCTAACGACCTGAATATACCTAGTACTGTTCCTTTTTGATCATGATTTCCAAATTGAGACACTATTGTTGTAAGACATGTAACAACGAATGCTGTAGCTATTTATAAGAATAAAAATAAAAATGCGTTGAAAAATTTATATTTAAAACAAATTTACATATAGCAAATAATATCATCCCAAAATACAACCAAAAACTGGTAGGAGCAAGACCAACGCATAGAAAGGAAGGGACTATCAAATACAATCCCCACACTGCTGAGGGCTTTATTTTCTCTGGTCGTAATCTTCTTACTACACCCCCTTGTAAAACTGCCATTATAACACCTAGAAACAAAAAACATAAATACAACACTCCTAATATTTTCAAATATGGTTATTACCAGTGGTACAAAACATCCTAGCTTGATCAAGTGAAGTGTATTTAAAATGATGGTACATTAGGAATGTTACTGTAAATTCAAGTCCAGAATAAATAAATAAATAAAAAAAATATATGAACCCCATTTTTTTCAAAAAATTAATATCATCCTTTTTAATATTTTTCACAGCCGAAAACCTTAACAAAATAATTTTTTTTAAATATGCATACATGTATATCTATTTGCCTTCAATTTTTTAATGTTACCTAAATATAGAAACCACATTTACAAAATCCATGGCTTGCGTGAGTGAAGTAACAACGTGAGATGCTCTTTTATTTTCTGGTAATGTTTCTTTGAGAAATAATCCTATGAATAAAACGTCTAAAACAGCTAAACTCATCGCAAAAATTGCAGGTAACCAATACCAGGTTATTGTTGTTTTATCCATAAACATAGCAAACATGGCGCCAATTAGAGGTCCCAAAATAAAACCGAGAGAGAACGCAATGCCAACAAAAGCCATTGCTTTTCCTCTAGTTGAAACATTAGTGACATCTGTTATTATGGCCATACTCAATGATATGTTTCCTTTACTCAAACCACCAACAAATCGAGCTAAAACAAATATTGCGAAATTGTGGGAAATAGCCCATATGAAATACGAAAACGCAATTCCCAACTGTTAAAAAAAGAATAAATAATCGAATTAATTTTAAAATTTTAACAAAGGGAAAAAAATAATAGGTGTATGTTTGTTTATATACTCAATAAGAAATTTTTATTAATTTCTAAACTACAACCGCTACCAGCAATTATACAATAACAAACGCTACTAGCAATTAATGGCTTGTTTTAATCGTGTCCAAAAATTGTATATGGCACATAAAATATATTTTATTTTTCTTTTCGGCACGAAAAGCACAAGTTACATAAAATTTTTTTTAGAATTCATTAAAATTTTATTACAGATTATAATTAGGTTGAATACAGATTATCCAACCTAATCAGCAATATTGGAAATGTTATTATTGGAAAAGTCCGTTTTCAAAAATGGAATATGAGAGATTCCATTTATTTTAGAATTGAATATTTATGCTAATCCTTTTAGAGGTAATTAAAATCCTTTTTGAGCTACATATAAAATCTACATCATTTAAATTCAGCTATGTATTTACAACTTCAATAAATTGAAATTTTAGTAAATTTAACAAAAAATTAGAAAAAATGCTTTAAAAAATTTCAGGCTGAGCCTTTACTGCCTCTTAGTGTTGTGGGAAGATAACACACAACTTTTACACAAAAATATAGGTACTTAGAATTTTTTATAGAAGTTGCATGAATAAGATTACTAATTTATGAACTTAAACTTTTACCTATATTTTATTAAAATAAACCAAATCCCCTTGTTCGGAGAGCGCCAACTTTAAAAAGCTTATACCAAGTACATTATAGTATACGTTTCGTTTTTAAAATATTTTTAAGTTTTCCCACTAACTCCACAATTTCCGGTAAACTAAAGGAAGTTGGTGAAATTCACAAAAACATAAAAAAACAGTAACGTGTACATGCCTTAACTCCAACTATTTGCTAAATAAAATAATAAACTATTTTTATCTTTTTATCACAATTGTGACAATTTCAAACATAGAATTTGAAAACACACCAACAAAAATTAAAACCGGTTTGTTGTATAGTTTCACTTTCGTTTAAGTATACATTGATATCGACTAAATGAAAGTTATAATTTATATCGAATATAAAATAAATGTACCTAATTAAATTTGCGTTTTTACCGCTTTTAACCACTTTCTAAATACATACATCAAAAATGAACTGTTAAAATTAAATTTTCTACTTACAGCACATAAAAGCATCATTTTTTTTCTTCCAAAAACATCTGACAACGCACCAACTATAGGACTAACTAAAAATTGCAAAAAACTAAACATTGACCCAAGTGCTCCTCCAAATAAAACTGAATTGTATTTTTCGGGAGCATTCAATGCTATTTGAAAGTATTTTATACTATTTGATAAAGAGTCATATAGGCCGGAATTATCATTGTTTTTATAAAATTCTAATATAGATGGAAACAGAGGTAGAATCATAGTGAATGCCTAAAATAAGAGGCCCAATTAACTTTTATGTTGAATATCTTAAAAACTGAACTTACAAGTAAATCCAGCAGTAACGAACAAAATACGATATATACCATAGGATTTATTTTTTCTTTAGTACTCTCAGAGTTGCATGGTTTTTTTTGAGAACCATCAATTACTGAAAGGTTTTCTTTACCTCTAAAACTTAGTCCATTTTCTTTTCCTAAAACTTCCTTCATCTTGGTGTATACTTTTTGGTCATTGAATTTAACTTTTAATTATAACGGTGAAAAATAATTTTACTACAAAAACAAAACTCCTGCTTCTAAAAATAAGTGATCCACTTTCAATTCTCAATCTGATTATACTGTCGCAATTTTCTTTTCAACACTGTTAGCTTTTAATGTGAAAAACTACATTGATATCATAATAATTGTTTATTCATTTTTCTGGCACATTTCGTTTATCCCCACAACAAATCCCGTACTACTACAATGTCATTTATAATAATGAATAAATATAAATGAAAGAAAGCAACAATTACGAATATGCAAAAAAATTCAAATGATCCCAATTTCGAGTCTCAATTCTTCATTGGCTTGCAAGAGTACTGCCATAAGAACATTAAAGTTATTAGATATTAAAAAGTATGAAAAATTTTAAATAAAAATATTTAGTTCAAGGAAAAATTCATAGAATCATTGAATTGCGTCTTATGAGTATATAATATATTATGAAAAATCTGTACTTTACATTGCACAACACAAAATGAGCATGTAATTTCTTATTAAATTTTGAAAAATACAAAATTTAGTTTCTACTTTATAAAATTTCGCCAAAATTTTCTCAATGAAGTACATTCACATATTATTACATACACATGTTCTTTTGTATTTGTACGAGTATATGTACTTCAGCATTCTCAATTTTCAAAATTTGCCGCAACAATTTCTTAGCAGATTATAGGTGTCAAAAGTTTACAGCAACACCTGAATTGAGAAAACAAAATTGAATTTCCTATTTTTAGAAAAGTAAACAATCATAGATGTGGCAAATATTAATCTATTAATTAATGTTTTCGATAGTCAAATTTCTTTTTTGACATGTTGACGTCTTCTAGTTATATTTCAAGAAACGTCAAATAATTAATAATTGCCACTTTTACTCTAATTTTTTATTTAGAAAATTAATTTTATGTTAAGAAAAATTCAATTTCAATAAAAAATTCAAAATATATTAACAACTAAAATAAAAAATGATTACATAAATTTATAATATTCGTACCAAAGTTTTGTTAAATAAATTAAAAAAAGTGTGTTCTAAATACGTCGGTTAAAAAAGCACATACCTACATATATAAAAAATAAAGTTGATTTAAATTTTTTTTAAAATATGGACAGTAGTAGTAACCATGAGAATTCCTCTTTTTGGAAGACAGGAACTAAAAATGTCCCTGGTCGACCAAGTCCAAAAACAACATCTATTAAAAGCACAAAAAATAGTGTTGGAACATCATTTCAAGATTATCAGTTATCAGTTAGCGATGCTTGGGATACTGGCGATGATGAATTTTGCATCATATCTGGAATAGCAGGTTAAAAATATACTGAAGTTTATTCATTTATTATCCTTATTCAAGTTTTACATTTCGTTATACAGATACAAAAATTTCTAAAAGGGTTTCTCAAACAACAGCTATGAATGTTATTGAAACCCATCGCAGTAACATATTACATAAATCAAAAGAAAATACTACAGCTACCGCTCCAGTTAATATTAAAGCAACTCGTCAATTGAGCTTAGGAGAAGATAATGTCGCATGCAGTAATGATAATGATTTAAATAAAACTAGTAATTTTAGTAGCAAAGTATTGTCATCGTCAATTGAAAATACATCAACATCGGAAAACCTAAATAGGTTGAATTAAGTTTTTAAAGTTTTTACATTTGCTTTCACCTACTTTTATATATTTTCGTAAATTACTTGTCTTATTTAAAATAAGCATTTCAATATATTTATTCTAAAGAAAGGAAAACTTTATGTTTCAGGCCAAAATTTCGCCAAATACATGCTTACCCTGGAAGGCCTCAACCACAAAAGTTTACAAGCAATTCTGAAGATTCAGAATATGAAACTAAAATAGAGAAATTTTCAACTATATTGGAAAATCAGTTATTAGATTTAATTGCGTTGAAGCAGTTAAGTTGGTCTGGAATACCAAGAAAAGTAATTTAAAATTTATTCTCCAATTCGAATATTTTGTATAAATGTACATGTGTATTTTAATTTTTTTAAGATGAGAGCAGTTACATGGAGAATTTTATCGAAATATCTTCCACCGAGCTTAGAACGCCGAAGTTCCGTGTTAGAAAGCAAGAGGCAAAACTATCATGATTTGCGTCTAAAATATTTTAAAGTAGACAGCCAAGATGAAAGTCAACAAGATACATATAGACAAGTATATAACTATGTAGCTAAAATGCGAACTTTTTTAATTTTTAAAAAATATTTTTAACTGAAGATTCATATTGATGTGCCAAGAATGAATCCTCATATATCAATTTTTCAACAAGAATTAGTGCAACAAATGTTTGAAAGAATTTTGTTCATATGGGCAATAAGACATCCAGCATCAGGCTATGTGCAAGGTATCAATGATTTGGTGACACCATTTTTTATTGTTTTTTTGCAAGAAATTCTTGGACCAGGTATGTTTACTTAAAATTATTCAGCAAAATAAGAAACAATCTTATTTTTTTTTGCCATTCAGAGCGTGATTTAGAAACTTTTAATTTAAACGAGCTGTCTGTAGATATTCGTGATAATATTGAAGCAGATTCATTTTGGTGTTTATCAAAATTTTTAGATTGCATACAAGATAATTACATCTTTGCTCAACTTGGAATTCAAGAAAAAGTCAACCAACTTAAGGATTTAATCCAAAGAATTGATGGTAAATTAATTAAAAATTCTGTAGTAAATAATTAATATACTCAATGTCTTAATTATAAAATTAGGAACGCTTCATAAACATTTACAAAATCACGGTGTTGATTATTTACAATTTTCATTCAGATGGATGAATAATCTTTTAACGCGCGAACTTCCATTGCATTGTACAATTAGACTTTGGGACACATATTTAGCTGAATCAGATGGTTTTGCGTTATTTCATTTGTACGTATGTGCTGCCTTTTTACTTCACTGGCGGGATCAATTATTACAACAAAATGATTTTCAAGTAATAATATCAAATACAGTAAAATCTCATGACTTTTTATTTTTTTTAATTTTAGGGTTTAATGCTTTTATTACAAAACCTTCCCACGCATAATTGGGGCAATAAACATATAAATGTTTTAGTAGCTGAAGCATTTCGTTTAAAATTTACCTACGCCGATGCACCTAAACACTTAGAAGGTAAAAGTTGACATAATTTACCTAAGGGACGTAAAAGTAATTTCAGGGGGAATTATCTTTGTGACAAAAGAAATTCAATCAATAGTATAAATATTTAAACAATAAAAAATTATTGCAAAAATTGATAGTAAATAAAAAAATAAAAAAGTGTTATATAAAAAAATTGAAATCGAAGATATCAAAGAATAAAGAAAGAACGAATAAAATAATAAACATTATCATATAGGTTTTTATCAAATTTAAATTACAAAAAAAAACATAAATCTATATTTGAGCACACAAAAAACCCTATATATAATTATATATCAACGATTTATTCATAAATGAAGAAAAACTATATTTGTAATATTTCTTTGTTTCATTCATACATACAAATATAAAATAAATTAAAAATATGTTTTCTTTTCCATTATTTTTAAAAACCGAATTAATCGGATGAAAAACTACGTTCTGTGAAATGTGTTGTTCTTATGTACCAAGGTTCTTGGTTTTTTAAATAATATTTGATATTCTATCATAAGAAAATTGTAACTCTTCATAATTGAAAAAATCGGATAATAAAAATTTATTTAAAACAAATTCTAATTAATTTTAAATTTTTTTTTTAGTTAAAAAGCGTTTTAGATATTTCATGAAAAAATTATGAAGTTAATGAATAGTTCATAAATTTTTTTATTTAATTTTGTTCTTAACCTAGTTTTTACGGCATAAGGGCTTCATACATATCCATCTATATATAAAATACAAAAACAATCTTTTTACATAATTTATACAATTTTTATAGCAAATATTTTTTATATAAAATTTTAGTAACAATCAGCATCATTTACGCCTAAGGTTTTAATAGAATATATCATGTCATCAAGTAACGATTCAAAACTTTCATTTTCAGATATCCAATTCTGTTTCATTTCTATCAATGAATTCAAATTTATTTTGGTTATTTTGTTCAAAAATATTTCTGGAGTAATATTTGCAAATTTTTTATGGAATTTATCATCAATAACGTCAAAATTGTTGTTGCAAGCATTTTCGGCATTCATATGGTTTGTTTGGTAACCATAAGCTAACAAATTCAAATCACTTGAATCCAAAATTGAATCAATAACATTTTCATTAAAAGCAGTTTCGCTTAATTCACTTATGTCCATTCCGTTTTCATTAATAATATTTTCTTGAAAATCCATACAATCTGATTCCATAGCCTCTTCAAAAGATGAACTTGAGCTACTTAATTTTTGGTTGTTTTCTTTATCTAAATTTATTGTTTTAAAAAAGTCATATTTATTAAGACAATCCAATAGTTTTTGTAAGAGGTTGACTGTTTCCTTAACTACTTCAAAATCACATTCATCTTGCAAACATTCCAAAAGAATTCCCAAAATACCATATTTGCACAAATCATCCAAAATTCGTTGAATTCGTATCAAAATTTCTTTTTCGGTTAATGTAACAATTTTTTTGTGCTGTTTGGAAAATGTTACTGTAGGAAACGTGCCATCAATCATTCCTTGATTAGTAAACTGTTTGCATATAACCGCTTTCCAGAAGTGTAAAGCGTGAACTTTAACTTCCCAATAAAAATCATTTACGGCACAATACGCCATTACAGAAAATAGTTTGTTTGGCTCTTGAACAGTATATTTACGATTTACAAATATTTTTCTAACCAAAATTACAGCTTCCTTTCTTACAATTCCTTCAGATTCTTTCGGAATAAAGGACAGGGCGAATTTCTAAAAGAAGTGGATTATATATTTTTATTAAAGTATATACATAAGTATTTTCTTTACCATAATATCCATTTGACTTAGTGATTTATCCCACATCAAATCAATTTTAGTCATTTCAGCTAGGCATTTTAAAGCGGATGCCCTAATATATGGTTCGGAATCGTTTTGTGCCATAGAATATACAATGGGGCTAACCCCACTGTCAAGAATAAACTGTTGAAATGGAGGAAATTCTAAAAAAGACCAAATATTATGGATATAAACCGATTTAAAATGTAACATAAAAATTTGAACATACTCATTTCCGATAGTGTAACTACTGTTGTAATCAGCTCTAATGTGCTATCACGAACCTCCCAAGAATTGTCGTGTAACCGTTTTAGCATAATAGATTCAAAATTTTGCATGCCAGATTCATTCAAGTTGTTCATTAAAAGGGCCATATTAGGAGAAAGAAAACGTTCAATTGATAACTGAGCAAGTTTAACTAACTGTACTGTCACCTAAATAGAAACGAAATAATATTTTTTAGGAAACAAGCATCATAGACCAACTTCCGTCATAAATACATACTCTACTAGTTAGATCAGGATTGTCCAAAAGTCCCAAAACTATTGTTAAGATGCAAGTTGTTTCTATAGAATCCTTCCAGGTAATTTTGAAGTGTTCCACAATTGAGTGCAAACCAACAACCAAAGAGTACATTATATTTGAGTTTTCTCGAAAAATAATATTTAAATTAGCTTTTTTAGCTGAACCGTTCGCCTCATGCTCCTTTTTCACGGGCAGAAAACTTTTCAAAGCATACGTCATTGCTTGAAATATGAGCACAGCTTGTGCTTGATTTAACGAATTTTTCATAGATAAAATACCACTAATTGCTTTACAAGCTACATGAACTGCATTTTCAGGACAATCAAGAAGCAAATCTCTAATGGAATACGCGATACGTTGAGTGAATTCATTCGTAATATTGAAAATTTTGGTTACATAATCGTCTACAATTTCACTACAATATTCTTCATAATTTGGTTTTAAAAATATTAAAATTGGCATCAATTGAATTGTAGCGAGTTGTGTTCCAAAATTTATTTTCTCATTTTCAATAACAATTTCATCTGGGACTTCAGAATTAAGTTTAGTCCATAAAACTTTATTGTATTCAGCAAGTAGTAATACGTTATCGCAACTACGTCTCATTATGCAAAATTTCATATAATTATAAAAATTAACGCCAAATTGTGTAAAATCCTCTTCAGAAATTTTTCCCTTCTTCGATTTATGCAATAATAGTCTTGTGTAATTTAAAGCTGTTAAAATTTTAAGAAGTTTCCCAACAAAATATTGATCATGAAATGTGTCAATATATTTCCAAATCATTTTGTCAATTTCAAACGGCGGCTCGAAATAAGAAGCAATGTAAAAATTGGTTTGAATTTCAAGGGAATTCTGTAAAAAATACAACAGTAAATCGAATGCTGCGGAAACTTTTCCTTGTAATTCATTATCGTCAACACAAACACTCAATGTTTGATCTGTATAAATATTTTCATTTATTGGTTTCATTATTTCAGCAATTATTGCTACACAAATCTCTTCATCTTTAATTTTCGTAGATAATTTAACAAATATTTCAAACAACAATGCAGTGGCCTGACGTTTTACATAAATTGTTTCTTTTGATTTACAAAAATGTATTAGAACTTCCCAAGCATTATTGAATTTCATTCTGCTAATACCAATACTATATTTGGAAATAGCCGATAAAAAATATATATAACCCAGTTTGATAGATGGCGTTAATTCTGTTAAATTAGCATTAATCAACTCTTCGATCCTGAAAAAATAAATTAGTATGAAAAATAAATTGAAAATGGTATTTTGTTTAAAAATACTTGTCCGCAATTTTTCTTTCTCGAAGCTGAGGTATTAACCACTCATTCTCTGTAAGCAATGCAGTTAATTTCAACATAAATGCAAAAACCTTCTCATCCATTTTCTTAAAATCAGCTATAGATGCATCCAGACATTGATCAATCCACTCAAGTGTTATCGGTGAATGCAGTAATGACTTGTAATCTAAATACATAGTTTTCAGTTAGATTCGTAAATATTTATGTAAATTTAAAACAACACAAACTATCTACACAAAATTATTTTTTATTTATGTATAATTTCTCTAAATGAAAAATTTGACTTTTTGAGTTTCACGTTTAATACATCAAAACAAAAAGTATGAAAGAAATTATTTTGAAAACCACTTACCTGTTTTTTGTCCATTTTTACCAGATAAGTGTGTAAAAAGCTGTTCAAAATAGATATCATTTTGATTTTTATAATTTTTATGTAGAAATCCTTTTAAGATTAATTTATACTTTTCTTCTAAATCAGTAGTTTCGTCCATAGTTTGAAATTACAATTTTTTTAGGGTATTTCAAAATTTAAAAACATTAAATTTTATTAAATTAATTAATATTGTTTTACAATTTACATTTAAGTATATGTTATTCAATATATGGACGAGTTATGTATTATTTATCGTATAGTATGTAATATATGAAACAATTAATGTATTTACATTTGGCTTTTACGCGACAGACAATTCATAAAAGACGTCAAATAAATAGGTGACCATTTCATGAAAATTTCTTTTGACATTAGCGAATTTGTTATTTGTTATGCCACGATTGGCATGATTCATGTTTCCATAAACTTTTTTACAAGACAAAAATTAAAAAATAAGGCGATTAAATTTTAATTCTATAAAGCGTATAGAATTTTCAATCATATAAAAAAATGTTAAAAACAACTCCCATATGAAAACTTTACTGCATGTTCAAACAAATGAAATGAAAGAACAAGTATGTATAACATAACTCATTTATAAAAAAATAGAAAGCCTGAAGGCTGGTATTAATGTTCTTAAAACACTTTGATTAAAAAGTTTCTGAGCTATTTTATTAACGTCGAAATATATGTACGAAATTAATAAAACCAGTAAAAATATTTAATAATAATTTTTGATGAAAAACTACACAAAATTTGTTAACTCTATTCAAAGATACTCCGTTATGCAATTCGTAAAACATTTAGCTTAAAATAAGGATTTATTATAATGTTCTTCACTTGTTGGTTTTTATTTGCTTCTTTTTCGCTAAGTGTCCTTTATCAGATGTTTTTAAAAATGCTACATAACAAGTTTTAGTACAGTATACATATTTTTCATATTTTATAAAGAGCATTTTTATACAAAGTTTCTGGAGAAAAGCTTTAGCAAAATAATAATTACATTAATGATTGAAAATTATTTAAAAATTTATTCCTTGTTTTTGGTAACACTGATATGACAGTTGCAATTGTTATGGGAAAAAATTGGATTTCAAACTTGACATAACAAAAATATATCCGTATTTCGGTCCGCTGTTAGCCGTTTCAAATGCGCTTATTATTTCAAAAATTTTAAAAATTTTTTGGAAAGTTATTATTGTATGTAGTAAATTACTATTTACTACATTACATATGTATTTAACCAATGGCTTATTTTGGATAAATGCTACAACTGCCTTAAGTCTTCTAGAAAAAAATATTTGAAGAGTGAGAATTTCAAAAGTTCGTTTGTTTTGGCAATTTATGGTCAGTTGATACAGAAAAAAACATATCAAACTTAAAAGCGTTATGGCAATATAAAAATTTTCAAAAATTCTCTACTAAATTTTTGGTGATCTCAGATAGAACTGACTCAAATACATCTTATCTCTCAATCTCATAATATAAGCTTCAGATAATCTTACAAGGAATGCAATGTCGTTATGAAGCACAATAAAACTACGCAATTTTATACGATCTCCAAATAAATTTCAAACAGAGCATGCATCATCAAGGAGTTTTATAAAATCACCAACTTCCTGAGTAACATAATATGCGAAATCAGTCCGTTGACGGGCAAAGAGGACAGATCACACTTTTATATAGGCGCAAAATGTAATTGTTCACAAAATTAAGTTCATTGGTATTGACGAAGCTTGTACGTCAATTTCAAAATACTGAACGGACTTGAAGAAATACTTTCTGAGATGAAGGCTACTGATAAACCCTAAATCATCATGAATCACGTTCAAATGTGATCAATTTGAGCAAATGATATTTGGACAATTTTGGTTTGAACAGATTCCAAACTTAATTCACCCAAGTAAATTATATATGTATGTACATAATTACTTAATTATATAAAAACCACAAAAAATGTAATCCACATAATGCATATATGTAGATTGCTATTTATATGAAATTTATTTTTAAATGAATGCAACTAAGAGATTTTGTTTTAATAAAATAAAATTTACGGGAATTGAGTTGAATGAATAATTTGTATTGTTATTTTTCTCTATAAAAAACAAAAAGAAAGAAAAAATATAATCAGAAAAGCTGTAATGATTACATACAGTTGTACTTAGTCAAGCGATAGTGTGAATAAAATTTTATTTTGTTATAAAATGAAACATATTTTTTCTTTAATCTGTGGATTATTTAAACACATTTTGGAATTAATTTTCACAAAACTTTTATGTACTTTTTAGCTTGTCAGGACCATATGCAGCATAACTTTTGTATTTTACTGCAAAGAAAACGTACTTCAAGTTTCACTGCGGTAGTCTTACTGCAGTGAAACTTTTATTACTGCATTTTGGAAGTCACCTTTGAAAAAAATATCCTCATATTTCCTCAAAGGTTAAGAATATTTAGCAGACAGGCGATTTTTTAGATACTTAAAACAGGTAAGCTTAATTTTTCAGTGTTCCTTCAAACTTTTTTTTAAGTGGAAGTGTAAATTTTAAGTTTTAAAGACATCGACTTTTTTTGTTCTTTATTATTATTAAACACTAAGTTAAGTTAAAATTGAAATGTTTTTTTTTTCTTAATGAAAATATTATAAATATTTCCAAATTATTCTTTGGTAAACATTATTTTATATTTTAATAAAAGTAAAAAAAAAATTCTTTGGTAAACAAATATAAAACAACAAAAAATTATATGTTTTAATATTTTTTATTTGACTTTTTATAATTTTTTACGAAATTTAATCATAATATATATTATTTCCTTTTTATAATATATTTTTATTATTCTCTAAGAATTTTTATTTGTTTGAATATATATACGTATTTTTATATGTATACATATATATTTATAAAATTTTTTTTTATGTAAAATTGATTTTTAGCTCGTTTTGGCTACAACCTTATATAATTAATAATAATAAAACGGATATAAGAAAAATTTTTACTTAAATATAAATTTTAATTTTAATTTACGTTTTCTGTAGTTGATTTTTTTTTTATTTGCTTACACAAATTTTTTTGATTAATTTTTTTTTTCACTTTTTTTTTATATTTAAAAAAATTTAACAAAAGTAAGTTATTTATATATATATATTTATATATATGTATATATATTTTTGTATCAATCAATTAATCGTCAATTCCAAAAGAATTAGTCCATTTATGAGCAGCTTGGGGTCGTTTATTATCGAATTTTCAACAGAGATCCAATAACAAATTTTCAAAAATTTTTGAAAAAATTACAAAATTTCTGAAATTTGGCAAAAATTTTTTAGAAAAATTGTTTTTGGGTTTTTTTAAATTGTATATATACATATATGTATAAAAATATACATATATATATAAATATATATATATGTATATTTTAGCAGCAGTGAAGAAGGAATCATAATAACATTTTATAAATAGTAAATTTCTATTAACTAAATAATATACGAAATCAATATACATTACTATCTGCAACTTTAATTAGTTTTAAACTCAGTAAAATCCAAAAATTTTACAATGTTATATACATTATTTATAACTGTTTAAAATTTTCTATTTATAAAATATTCAATGTTTCCGCGTTTTTTTTTTTCCTAATACAAAATTCAAGCTCATTGTCCGTTTGTAACATTGCCAGAGTTATTACCCATTGTTCGTCTTTTTTATTTTATTATTTTTTTTTAATTAAAATATATTTTTAAGGAAAAATTTGAAATTTATTGAAGTTATATACAAATTTATAATATTTTCAAAATTGACATATTTTTTTTTTTTAATTTTGTGATATTATTTTTGTCTTAAGACATGGAAAAATGTTTTTGTTATAGCTACTGACTTTTATTTCATTAATATTATCTGTGCACTCAAAAATTGTATTTAATTGGATATTTTTTTAATCAATTTATATTTCCCACACATAATTAAAACCTTTACAAGGCGTAATTAAAGTAAGAATAATTCAAAAAAAAAAATTTGTTTAAAATTTTATTGTACGAAAAATCTAAAATTTCTTAATTTTTTAAAAACATTATTTTTTACTGCTTAAAATTTTGTCTTTACTTGATTTTATGTTCAATTTTTTAAATAATATGGGAATGTTAAAGGCTTATTAATATTTTCAAATTCAAATTTATAACTTTCAATCTTAGCTATATTAATTTAAATATTTAAAATTTAAGACCATTTATTTTTTAAAATAAATCTTTTCTTCAATTAATAATTTTTTAATTAGTATTATTTAGTTTAATCGAGTTTTATTTAAAATTTGATTATAGTTTAGGAAAACTAAATTCTTATTTATTTTGAATATAGAAAATAAAATTTTTTAAAAGGCCTAAATAGCAGACCTATAACAAAAATGGTACATTAAACAAATTTCTTTTTATTATTTTTTTTTGTTTTTAACAACTGAAAATGTTACAACATATTTTAAACCTATTGTACATCAGTAGCTAAATATTTAAATACATTTTCATATCTAAGTTAAATTTTGCATATTTTTATTAAAAATAATAACCATTTATCATGTACAATATGTAATTTTTATGTCTTTTATTGTTTAATTTATCTAAAAAAATACATTGATAATATATAAAACATATTAAAACAAGGAACAAGAAATTGTTTTCTTTCCGAGAAAATAAATCATATCAATTTATATACAATTAACAAAAGTACAATTTTAGAATTTTATCTGGATACCAAAAAATATTCAAAATTAATTGAAATTTATAACAAGTTAATCTTGGAAAAAATTCACTAAAACATGATAATTTAATCTACTATTACAAAAAAAAAATAATGATAAATAAATAAAAAAAAAACTAAAATATATTTTTAATCAAAATTATTCCTTCTTCAATTGAAAATTAAAGAAAATTTGCATGTTTGAAGTCATAAATATACATAAATGTGTATAAGATTTTTATTACTCATAGTTTTGCTAAACTTCATAAATTAATTTCGTGTCTACTAAGCAATTAACCAAACAAAACATTTCAAAATACTCTTACAAAATCTGAGATAATAATAAAGTATATACCTACTATTTTTTTTAGACCGTTTTGACTTTAGTTTTAAATTTAAACCCGAAAAAGAAATATCTCCAGTGGAATTTAAATAATTAATGGTTTTGTAAATAGAGATTAATAGGAAATATTTTTATAATATTATGAATCAAATTAACAGCAAAATATTTTTTTTTAGCTTTTACTTACTTTTATATTTTTTAAGTTTTGCCACCTTTCATTTTTTGAGGGAAGAAAATATTTATTATGTATATATATTATATATAATCTAAAACTATTCAAGCAAACAAGTTGAGGAATGAACTAAATATCTAAATAGAATTGCAAATTTATACAAATATATTTTGAAAAAATGGAAACGAAAGAAACTAAAAATATTCTCATTTAGAATGAATAAAAACTCGAAAACGATATTTTTAATGCAAAAAATTCACGATTAAAAATTGCACAACTAAAAAGTGTAATTTTTATATATTTGTATACGTACATATATCGACTGAAACGTTCAACTTTTATAAACTCTTTTAACACTTTATAATTACTAATATAAAAAAAAGAATGATATAAAAAAAATAATGTCTAGCTTTTAATATATGTAATTGCTAAGACCCATATTGAGTCTTATTTTTTATAAAATTTGAGTTAGAAATTATTTCATCCAATTTTATGAAATTTTATGAATTATTTTCTTATGAAACTTAAATTACATAATATGTGTAGTATTTATAAATTTTTACCAAAACAAACATTTTTTAAAATACCAGTTTTCTTTGTGTCAAAACCCAAATTTAATCAATATGTACTATTCGTATACTATTGATTAACGTCGTGGACCCCACGCGGAAGCAATAGGGGTAGAATCATTAGTGTTTTTACCTGAACCACCAAAATCGGGAAAGTCTTTTTGCGACTGAGTATTCGGGGCAACAACATCATTAGTTGGTTTTTCATTTTTGCCTTGTTCCCATGGTGCTCCTTGTACAACGAATCCGTTAGAGTTTGTATTCGGTTGATCAAAAACTTGTTGTATAGTGTAGTTGACGTCTTGTAAATACTCTTCTTCCAAACATAAAATATGTTCACGAGCATTTTCAACATCATCTTCTTTACCGATAATTACTATGGCATTTGGATTTGGATCACCTTCTTTCGGGAATTTAATATCAACTTTATAATCTTCCATAATTTTTCGTATATTCCTTCCCCTTTGCCCAATCAAACGGTTATGAACAGTGGAATTAACTTCCACTGTTTCTTTATACAATTCTTTGACCATATCTAAAATTTCATCACGGCAAGCAATAGCATGTTCTTCGTAACCTGTTATTATAATGACACTATCATTATCATCTTCTTTTTTAGGGAATGAAATATTGACATTATGGTCTGATCGTAATTTTGTAACAACAGCACCACGTTTCCCGATAATTTTTGGATGATAAAAGGGATCAATTTCAACTCTCAATTCATATGATCGCAACTCACGATCTTTACGGTCAGCCTCCAATTCTTCTACACGTTTGAATAGAGCTTCTTTTGCTTTGGCAACATTAACTTTAGTACCAATTATTTTAATTACATCTTGCTTTAGATCTTGAGGAGACAATTCAATGTTCACATCATACGTCTGCATTAATTCCCTTACATCTTTTCCTTTCTGACCAATTATAGAACGATGCAAATCAAATGCCACATTAACTTCTTCGGTTATTGGGATACTGTCTCGAAGAGCTTTTTCAGCAGCCTCACATTTCTCCTTTCTTCCCGTTATACGAATTATGTCACATTGACGAATTTGCTCATTATTTTCTGTTGAATTTTCTTCATCGCCATTGGGTATATCTAAAAATTTTATAAGATACGAAGCAAAACGAAAAAAAAAAATTTAAGCTTTAGAGCACAATACTTTTATATTTAGGTATATTTAGAAATATTTATTAGGAAAATTTTTTTAACTACTTCTTACCTTCAACGATTTCCCTAGCATCCCGATCTGGAAATTTGATTTGAACATCAAATTCCTTCGTAATAGCTTGAACTTTAGACCCACGTGGGCCCATGATATTGCGATGATGCTTTTGAGGAATAATAACTTCGATAGTAATTTGAGCTTCTAATTCTTCAACAATTTCTCTTATTCTTTGTTTAGCAAATTCAATATCTTCTTTGGCACCTTTTAGTTTTACACAATCGGGTTCTTGACCTGGTCTCGGGAATGATATAACAACACCTTTACCATCAGATATTTGTCGTATTGCTTCACATCTTTTTGCCATAAAATGCCTGTGATATTTAGGATCTACAGAAATTTCGTCTTCTGTTTCAATGTCTTTAATAATAGATTCTAATTGTTCTTTTGCAGCTTTGACATCTTCCTCTTTACCAATAATAGTGATCAACTCTTTATCTTCACCATCGTTATTAGGAAATATAATACGAGCACCAGTTGCCTCGCGAATTTTACGAATTGAAGCACCATTTTTACCAATTATAAATTTGAGATGTTGTTGTTTGGTGCGAACTTCAGCCGTAAATGAATGTAATTGTTTTTCATTGGCTATTTCTAAAAGTTGTGTTTTAGCCTTTTCAACGTCGTCTTTTGGTCCTCTTATAAGAACCTTATCACTTTTAGTTTCATTCTGTGGAAATTTTATTGAGACTCCCCCACATTCTTCCATAATAGCGTTCACTAATTTTCCACCTGCTCCAATTATTGAATTATGATAGCAACGGGGGATATCCACTTCTTCCGTCACAATTTCAGAAAGTTCGTTTTGTTTTTTCTGAATAAGTTCCTTAGCTTCAAGAACATTTTCTTTCTTCCCAGTAATTATAATGACATCATTAGTATCTCCTTCAGCAGGTAATTCAATTTTCGTTTGTGTTTCATCACGAATTTTCTTTATATTCACGCCACCTTTTCCAATGATATATTTATGAAATTGTTTGAAAATTGGAACTTGAACAACAAACGAATGCTCTTGGATTTCTTTCACTAGTTTATTTAAATCCTTGTCTAATTTATGAACTTCTTCTTTAGGACCTCGTAGTCTTACGATATCACTATTATCTGTTGATAGAGGGAACATTATTTGCACATTTTTGTATCGGTCTTTTAGTTCACGTATTTTTTCGCCTTTTGCTCCAATAACATAGCGATGTAGATGCTGGTCTATTTTAACGTCTTTTACTATTTCATTTTCCAATTTGACAATTTTTTCTTTTAACTCTTGTTGCGCTTTAGCTACATCTTCTTTCTTACCTTCGATACGGATTTTATCGCCACTTTGTTCATCAATGTAGATGTAAACTTGATATTCTTCTTTTAGACGTTTAATATTGACACCACCTTTGCCAATTATATGCTTAACACAATTTGGATTTATGTCCATAATAACAAAAGTATTTTCTGCAAGAAAATCTTGTATAAATTTTTCCAAGTGAGCTTGAGCCCTTTCAACAGTTTCTGGTGGACCTTAAAAAACAAAAGAAATGTTTTGAAATTTATGCAAAATTTATAATATTTCGCAACTCTTACCCTCTAATTTAACAGCGTCTTCTAAACAAAAAATGCTGACATGGGGGAACTCCTGTTCAAACTTTTCTATTTTTGACCCTTTGCGGCCAATGATATATTTAAAAATCCAAGTAGGCGCATCTATCTTTACAGTCTTTACAGAGTTAGCTTTTTCATAAACAATAGTCAATGCATTACCCAAAGCTGTTTGTGGCCCTCTCAACGTGATTGTATCAGTACTTGAATCATGTGGTGGCATTTCAACCCAAACTCCAGTTTCCAAAAATATTTCTTGCAAAGTTTGGCCACCTTTACCAATAATATGTCGATGCTGAGTTTTGGCGACTTCAACACTTACCGTGGAACATTTCTTCTCCATTTCTTTATAAATTTCTTCAATTTTAGCTTTTGCGGCTAAAACTCCATCCTTTTCGCCGGTAATCGATATTTCATCTTTCGTAGCTGTTTGTGAAGGCATAATAATTTTGGCACCAGTATCCTTCATTAAGTTATTCAAAGTCGAATTTAGTGGCCCCGCAATAAACGGATGGTATATTTTAGGTATAGAAAAACGTTCGAAAGCCTTTTTAGATTGTTCTTCTACCATTGCACGTATATCATGCTCAGCTTTCTCAATACCTTCTTTTGTACCAGAAATAGTAATAGAATCACTATCATCAGTCATACTCGGTATACTAATTTTAGTAGCTGTTTTCTGCTCTAGTTCACGTAAACGCTCTCCCCGTTTACCCAAAATAACGGGACGATGTTCTTTCGGGATAAGTATTTGCTTACTAGCTTGTGTTTGAAATTGTATTAAAATTCTGCGACGAGCTTCCAAAATCTCCCTTTTTTGACCTTTTATTAAAAATGTTAACGAATTATCTTTTCCGCTGGAAATTTCGATATTTGCTCCAGTTTCTTTCATAATTTGCTGACAAGTTCTTAAGGATTCACCTTCTCCAAATTTTTCTGAATCAGATGATTTTCGTTCCTCATAAGGAACATGAACAATCTTGAAAAGAATCAAAAGTGCACTCTCATTAATAAATACGTACATTTTAATTTTTTTTTAAATTTTCTTACTTGTTGTCTAACCGAACTTGCAACTCGCATATTTTTTGGTGGGGCGTGAACAATACCTTGGTTCTGCGGAAGTGAAAGTGCAGGGAAAAGGTCATCGTAAGTTCGACTTACTTGTTGTTGTTGAGATTGTGCTGATGCATCGTCCTGTGCTTGAACGCTATCGTTAACTATTTGACAAATCCAAATTTTGTTTTTTATTCAGTAAAGTAAAATAAATTTTATTGAGTATTTGTAAAATAAATCCAAAAAGAAAAAACTTAATTTATTACCGTTTGATTCCTCCATCACTGCTGCTTTGAATTAATATTGAAAAAGAAGAGTCCTTATTCGTTCCAAGTCGTTACAGTACCACTAAAATAAATAAAATTTGGCAAATGGTCAATAATATACTGTAATATAAAAGTACGAAATCTGCATAACATATGCATAAATTTCAAAAATAAAAAAATAACTTTTTTAAAATGCAATATAAAAAATTTATGTTTTTTACATTCATCGAATAGATGCAGAGTAAGTAGGTAGGTAGGTACCTAAATACATAATATCGGCTGGAAATTATATTCATTATCGGCTAAAAATTATAGTCGGCATAAAATAATTTTGAGATAAAAAACTCAAGGTTTTTATATTGGTATTGGTTATTTCAAATATAAACTTCGTTTATATTCAAATAAACCAATAATTTTTATGAAATAATAGACCAAATTTTTAGTATAAAATGTGTAAAATAAAGCTTAATTTAGCTGTAGTGACAAAAAAAATGTAACATAGAATTTTCATCTTTAAATGAGATTTATTGTTTTTATAATGGTTCTATGATAGACCTAGAACTTTATAACTTTTAAAGAAGATATTTTACTTAATATTTTTAACAAAATTTAAATTTGAGTTTTATGCTTCAATTTTTTTAAACTTTAGTTGCATTTTGAAATATGCTTGACATAAAACCCTTTAATTTTCTGACGACAAGTTGTAAATAGTCAAGTTAGTAAATATTGTAAAATAAATTTTAAAATAATATTGGTGTGCTTCAATATTATTTTCTGGCTGATTCAACCAATTGGAAGTGGCAGTAAAAGAAAATGCTTTTTTATAAAAATAATATTTGTTTGTCGTACTTAAACATTATACAAATTTTATTTTATTGAAAGCTTCATAGTTATGTTAAAAATTAATAAATAAAGAAAATTAATGTGGAATCAAAGAAATTGGCAATATAAAAGATACGTTGAGTATATGTGAAAAAAAAATTAAGATCTAATTATTAAAACTGTAAAAATTTATATTTAGCATTTCATTTAAACTTCAACAATCAGCTAAAATAAATAGCTAGGTACTCCTACACGAAGTCTTAAAAACGGATTTATTTAGAGTATTAGATTTGCAAAGAAAAATGTACTTTGTGAAATGCATATCTATCTAATTATATAAGGTAGGAACCTTACCTACTTTTATTAAATTGCAATAGATCTGAATATAAGAACTGTAGAATAACAATCAAAATATTATTAAATAATAACATTTTAATTTTTTTTTTGCTGTAAATATATTTTTAAAAAGTATTTGAAAGGTTTTCTTTAATCAAAAGTATTAGAAAAAAAATACAAAAAAACTTCTTATATATTTAAGTTCAAAACGAAAAAGTGTTATTCTATCTATTTTAATATCAATTAATACAGTAATATAAATGCTAAATACCAATATTGCAAATTATATAAGTTTGCTCTATACCACATACATAAAGTTTTCGTTTTAACAATATTATTCCTTCAAAGTTATATTTTATGTGTATGTAGGTTCATTCCTATTTTGTGAATATTGCACATTTTTTTTGAAAAAATTTCGAACTTTAAATATTTTTTAGAAATCAGATTATCTGTATGTTTGTACATATGTAGGTTTTTTATTTTATTTTATGTACTACGTATATGTATATATCATTTCAGATATTTTCGTTAACTACCCAAAATAAATTATATTTTCTTAACCGAATTTCCATTTCTCATACGAGTATAAGAATACTGATAAGAATTTTAAAATTCGAGCCATGCATTTATAAATAACCAAACATATGCTTGATATTAGATTCATATAATTTTAATAATACCTACATACCTACTGACGCAAAAAAAAAAAATAACCACTAATTAGGAAAATACGCATTACCAATAAAAGATGTATGTGCGACCAATTTGCTCTTTAATAATAAAGGGGCCCATGAGAGGTATAAACACGTTTTAATTTATATTTTCTTACTCTTAAAATTAACGCAGGCAAACAAATTAATACTTAAATACATTTCCGCATTTGTATAGGTAATATTTGATATAAAAAAAATATGTTGTAATGAAATGACCTTTTACCAAAATAAATAAAAAATGGTGTTCAAAATATAAAAAGTTTAATAATTAAACATAACGTGTCAACCATTCATAGAACTTTCCATTTTTCATTTCTTTTCTTCAGTAAAAATAAAAATAAATTTTGAAGACGTGTCGAAAGAAAGAGAGGAAGAATAACTTACTTCATATCACAAACGTAAATGAAAAAAGAAATCGCCATTTGACATATTTTGATAAAATATGTCGACGTCGACGACAGACGACGTATTTTATAGAGGGTACCTTCATTTTTAAATTTTTCATTATTTTTTAGGGTTAGAATGATTTGACCCAGGAACACGTTTTGTTATAACATATTATTTTTATCCAAATATGCGACCATAATATAATATTAAAAGCTAAAATTTAAGAAAACTTACTGTACTGCAATTCCAAAAAATCCGGCCTTAATTAATTTTTGCCGTGAAAACCCAGTTTTGTTTAGGTAACTTGGCGTGCCCTTTTATCTAAAAATACATTTTTATTTACAAATCACGTAATAACTTTTTAATTTAATAAATGTTTAGACATATAATATATACAATGAAAAAGATAAATCATAAAAATTCACAAACACATTAAAACACGATTTTTTTTTAATTTTAAGAGTTCATGCAATTTTATTTTAGTTGAAATTTTAAAAAAAGAAAAAATAAAACATATGAGACAACAATATTATTAGTTAAATGATTATTATGAACCTGTTCTTATTAGTTATTATTAGTTTTTTTTTTTAAATAAGACTTATTGCCACAAAAAAATATCAACCCGTACCGAAAGGTATTCCAAGTTAAAATGAAGTTTTAATTAAAAAATTTTATTAAATAAAAGTTTCTAACTTTGACATTTTCAAATGTCACAAAATTAAAGAGTTACCAGAAGTTACTTCTAAAAAAAATTTTTACGAGTAACAAGTTTCTCTTTTATATCTTCAAAATATATTATCTTATGTATATTTGCTGCCAATCCTATAAAACTGAAAATTAAATTATCTTTTTTAGCATATTATTAATATATCCCTTATTAATATCAATTATTTGAATAATTTTCCCAGTTTTTTGTAAGTATTACAATATGTTACAACTTTTGAAACTGTCAATGCGATATGTATTCCAAAAAATTGCATTTTTTGGAATGGGCAGAAAAAAAAAATTTTTTTAACCATATAATTTGATTTCGAAAACGTAGCACAGCAACTTATCGGCTGAAATTTGGTTGAAAACTTTACATTACAAAAGTATCATTTTAGTTTTTCATGTTGCATGAAACTAAACATATGTAGCGAACATCTTACAACAGATTCACTATTACAATCTAATGTTATTATTCTTTTTCAATCTTGTATTTTCATGGCTTTGGGCTTCTTATACTAAAAAATTTTGAGAACTTTACATAACCTTAGTTTTGTAAAAGTTTTGACAACCTTATCTGACCTTATAAAATCATAAATTTCAGCAATACAAACACAATCCTGGATAAGGGGCGTTTTATTTCCCTGTATTTCAACCATGGATGTGAAATCTATTTTACGCAACTAATGAGAGATGTTAGATCGTAAATCTGTGATTTCTATATAAGGCATGAGCCTTATATAGAACCACACTGTGATAGAATTAGAAAAAATAGTCCTGCTAATGAAACGCTTATTTGTAATAAATGTCAATATTAAAAAATTAAAAATATTTTCAAAAAAAAAAATTAACAGAAAAAGGAAAGTGCGTTTTGTGGAAAATTGTGTAGCACTTTCGCAGAACTTTAGTAGTTAGTTTAGTTTGAAAATGTAAGTAGAACGCAAATATTTTATAAAAACTCTTATTACCCATACATTGAACTGAGACCTATTTCAAATTTGTACTTAGTACTTTTTATTATCTATTTTTCGTGATATATCTTTTATTTATATCTAACAAACAAAATAATAAAAATATGTTTTCAAGCGTTTTATATTAATTATGTATAATGTAAAAATTAGAGATGCACAATTAAAAGCGGAACTCTCAACGTTTTTGAATTGCTCTCGGACCGTTATATTGATTATGCGCAACATATTTTGCGTATGTCAAATCTAGTTAACAGTCAACTTTTTGACAAGTAATAATTTGTTTTTATCCAATATTTAATCACAAAAGTAACAAACAAAATAGTTATAATAAGCTGGAATTATGGAATTTATAGGACTTTTTAAATGCAATGTAATTATTTATGAACATATACTCGTAAATATATTCACTGTGTTTTGTATTTTAGTTTTGCCCTAGTAATCTTCACGATATAGAATCATTAATTACACATTTTTCGATTCAACATCTTAACAAGGAATTATTTGAATGGTAAGTATAGAAACCAGTATGTCGATTTTGATAAATTGATGTTTTATCTAAATAAAATTGAAACTTTTAGTGAAGCTTGTTGCATTAAATTTTGGAAAATACCGGATTACTATGAACATAGAAATAAATTGAATTCTACTTGTGGCGGAAAGTATGGGATCACGATGAAAAGCTTTTTTCACACAATAAAATCATTATTTGAAAGTTTACCGAAAACCGAAGATACACCGTTACAAATTTCCACTGAAACTTCAAATGATATCAAATTTGAGATTAATTTGAATGAAGAACGACCATCGAATACAAATATATCTTTGAACACTTCAAATATACCTGATGGTAATTTTAAACTCTTACAGTGTGTATGAATAATGATATTTTCGTATATACCCCATTAGTTGGAAAATCGGAGAAAGCGGAAGTTATTTATAACAAGAATGAGATATCTACATATTCTGAAATCGAAAGTTCTATTTGTGAAGATAAGTTTGAACATGATTCATCGACTTCATTGATATCTCACGAAATATACAGATCTAAGCTACGTAATTCCAAGGATGTAAGAAAAATTACATCTAAGCCCAAATGGAAACCGAAAAAACGGAAATTAAAGATAAGGGATACTAAAATAAATAAAAAATCTAAAAAAGAAACGGATAAAGTAGCAAAAGTAAATGTTGAACTTGTAAATGAAAATGACAGACTCATTGAAAATAAAAGCCAAAATGTTTCAAATAGTAAAATTCTTGAAAATTGTAAAATATGTGAAAAATCTTTCAATAACCCAGATGAACTACGAAAACATTTGGAAAACCATGGTTACATTATTTATATTTTTTACTAATTTGTTTCCAAATTTTCAATTTTTTTTTAGGAAATGATAGAAACGAACTGTGCGTGTGTCATGTTTGTAACAAAAAATTTAATTCTGTTAATTATCTTAAAGTGCACATATCTTCTAAGCATCCTAATGACTTATTTTGTACTAAATGCAACAAGCATTTTAGTAATCAAGAAATGTTTGATGTTCATATAAATGAATTTCATAAAATAAACAGAAATAACAATAAAAGCAAGGCACTAGAAACAAAGACATTAGAATGTTTCGAATGTACCGGCAGAGTATTTACCCGTGTTAGCTCTTTTGTAATGCATTTATCAAATAAACACAAAAAATCGGATGAAGAAATAAAACAAATTTTAGAAATTAATAATGAAACATTCAAGAATGAATTGATGTGTAAAATTTGTGGCAAATTATTCGTTACCATTGATCACTTAATGAACCATCAAAAAAGGAAACATGGTAAAAATTATTTTTTTTCATGTTACCTGAAAAAAATTTCTAAAATGTATTTAGAACTTTCGATTTTTTGTATTAAGGTACCGATGGCAAGAATCAACATAAATGTAAATCATGTTCAAAGTTTTTTGCTAGTCAAGAAGAAGTTAGATCCCACATATTAGAATGTCATAAGGAAAAGCTGATGTGCCCTATTTGCAATAATGAAAAAATTTATTCGTGTACCGAATCTTTGATTGGCCATAAGCGACGAATACACAAAATTTATAATAGGCCACCACAACAAATTAACACAAAGGAACAAAGTGGAAACGAAAGTGTTGATATAAAAAAGAAAAAAGTTTATAAATTTGTTTGTGGTCAGTGCGGAAAAATAATGAACGGTAGGACGCAATTTAAAAATCACGAAGCTTCCAACTGCGGAAAAAACCCTGTACATAAATGTAATGTTTGTGGAAAAGGTTTCGCAAGTGCTGGAATACTTAAGGGACATGTTTCCATTCACGAAGATTATGAAAGCTATCAATTTGTTTGTGATTTTTGTCAGAAAAGGTACAGAACTAAACATCAATTAACTAAGCATAGACGTATTCATACAGGCGAAAGACCTTTCCAATGTCCAGTAAGGCAATATAATGAATATATTCTAAAATAAATGCTACTTTGTTATATTTTTAGCATTGTGAAAAAGCTTTTGGTACTTCTGCAGCCTTATTTGTCCATATTTCAACACACACCGGTGTTAAAAGATATATGTGTACTTGTGGTGAAAGATTTTCTTGTATAACTGGTTTAAAGGGGCATTGGAAAACTAATAGTACCACTTGCGGATCGGATCCAAATAAATCAACTAAAGCAGTTGGGGAATATATAGGGTATCGAAAAGGTAAAGTGGTTAATATTCGTCCAGAAGAAGAAATGATGATGAGACCAAGTTTATAATACAATAAATTATGCCAGTATTTATGTTTACGATCTTAATTTTTCCTAGATAATTTGTATTTTCAATATAAAATCCGTAATTAAATTTACAATCAAATATATATTTGTAAAAAATATCTATTTTTTTTAACAAATCCATTTTTGATGGTCTTCAAATATGTCCATGTAGTTGTGTTAAAAAAATTAATGGGTATAATAAATTACATGTCCTTTTCAATCAAATATTTATTTTATATTCCAAAACAGTACAATTTTTATTAGTCAAAATTACAAAAAGGAAAACTTAAACCATATTTTTAATAAAAAATATTGAAATTTCTTATATAATATCATCCGCACTAATTATTTAGATTTTTCATTTGCTATTTTTTCTAAATTTTCAACTATTTTAGTGAGGTCAAAATCTCTGTTCATTTTGACATATATAGTTTTCCGAATATCATGAAATTGTACCCATGTTGGACACTCTTTTGCTATCAACTTAAGGTGCACCTCAATATCTTTTGGCGTCAAACTTGTTCTGTAACTATTTTCAATTTTTTTTATCAAAGCTTCTAAAGGAAGAACCCCTTTTTTTTCAGTAACAAATACGTTTCTTAGATGTCTGGCTAATTCAGGTAAACGGCTGTATTTTCTAACTTCTTGATCTTGAGAAGGTCGTCTTGTCATGGAACTGTGTGCTTTAGCTGCTTGTTTGGCTCTGATTTTTTCTAAAAGTGATTTCGGAACACTTTTCAATAAAGTTGATTCAACATTGTCCAATTGGGGAGCATGCGCTGGAGGTTCTTTTGAAGAATTATCAGGGTTAATTAGATTTTTGGTAGCACAATTTACAATTTCTTCTTTTTGATTAAAAAGATTTCGGGCAGTTAACAGTATATCTTTTGCTGATGAATACTTTTCAACATTCGGTGGTTGTGGTAAATGGCCTTCTTCAATTTCTGGACAATTTTCTAAATCAAATTCTGGATGCCACCGTTTTATCTGATCTTTTGGAATATTCAAAGGTGGATTTAATGATTTTAAAAACTTATCATGTTCGTTTTTCACTTTTTCAAGCAAGATATATTGTAGTTTTTGATACCGTTCAGTTAAAATCTAAACAAAAAATAAAAAAAACCAATAATTAAATATAAACTCTACTTTTATCGAGCGTATTTGAAATTTACCTGCGGATTCATAGCATTCGATTGTGCTGACTTGAGAACATTATCTTCGTCAATAATAGATGCATTGACATTCTTAATTACACCAATGTTAGGAGTAATAACCAACTGAAAATAATCTTGTTTCGAAATGGAACCATAATTCCGCATTTTGGTTTGATAAAAGTAGTAAGCTTCTGGATAAACATATTTAATTTGAGCCAAATGATTCTCATGAAAATTTCTTCGAATCATCCGTTGAACAGCTGTTTTTAATTTTTTGAATGTAATACACTCCTTCCGATTAAAATACATTGCACAAACGGAATCAACGGCTTTGAAAATTTCAATGAGGTTTCTGTATTTAAATGGCAATGACAACGAAGGAGTTTTAGACAAGTGCAAAAATTTATGATATGCCGGAGTCTGAACAATATCCGATGAAGAACCATCTTTAGATGGACTAAAGAGTAACCGTTTTGGGGTAGTGCTTTTTGGAGACATCAATTCATTTTTATCAGGAGCAGGAGGGGGGCACTTTACAGGTGTTCTAAACCCCTTGACAGGGCTAAAAAGATCATTAAATTAAAACTTTTCCAAAACAAAGGTTTTCTAAATTACCTAGTGAGTACCTCTAAATCAATTGTTTTAAATTCTTTTAACGAAACTCCATTTTCATGCGTTTCTTTTTGCGTTCCGTTTTTCAGAAGTTTATTTTTTTCCTCCTGAATTTTTCGGGTTTTTTCTAATTCTTGAATTCGGTTAATAGATGCCTTAAGTTCTTGAAGTTTTGCACTACGTGTCACTTTTGCTTTAACTTCATCAAAAGTTAACTCCTTGCGCACCATTGTTTTTAACTTTTCCCTTTGATTGTCTCTGAGACTTACATTTTTATTTGTGTTTCCAAAAACATTCGTTTCATCCTTCTTGGGAGTAAGTTGTTTTGGCGACAAGAGACCTTTTTTAATAAATTTGACCAAGTTCTGTTGTGAGACTTTAGATCCATTTCCATTTTTCAATATTTTTTTTTGTAACTTCTCTTCAAATTTAAATGGGGGGTCCAAAATTTTAACTTCGCTGCTTCCATATAAATCACTATGTTTTGCGATTAAATTATCTTGATCCACAGATTTGGTTTGAGTAATACATATTTCTTTTTCATTATGTTTTGAAAATGTTATATTTTGCTGTAATAAATTTATATTTTTTCCATTAACAAAATATTTATCGTTGTTCAAAAGTTTATCTACTTTTTTAGCGTCTACATCCACGACACGAGGACTAATTAAATTACACTTAGGCACATCGTTTACTTCTGATAAAAATACCTTATTTTTGTGAGTTATTATTTCATCCGCAGCAGGTCTTTTTCTTGAGTTAAAATATGATGCAACTGAAGGTTGGCTCATGATAACAACATGTAATTTTTTATTGAATATTTTTTAACTTATTCCTTCTTATTTGCTAATGATTGCCAAATGGGAGTCCGCCAAAATATCTTTCAAGCATTAATAAGATTTGGCGCCAGGATTTCACTTGGTTTGTTTACAAATTAACTTTATTTTAATGAGTATGCCAAAGCAGTCAAACTTATATTATAAATTGAAAGACGTTTAATTTTTCCCAGCTGACAGTGATAATTCATTTTTCAGTTAACGATTTTGTGTTGTTTTCACATGTCAGGTTGTCGAGACAAGTCTTAAATTTTATATTTTTGGATTTAAAACTTAATACTTGATCTAAGATATTATTAGAACTATATGTAAAAATGCAAGGTAGTATTATATCGTAGAATTGTAGACATGTAGCATTTTTTTATGGAAAATATTTATTTTTTATTTGAAAAACATTTAAATATGTTAATTTGTGAAACAATTGAAATATGTTAATTTTTTGCTAAAACTAGACGCAATCTTTAAAATTCGACCTGAGTTTTTCTATTTGGCTAAATAAACAAAAAAGTTCATTCTGACAAATCGACAAATTTTCTGATTTCATTTTGAATGAGGTCAGAAAATTTATTTTCAATCTAATAAAATATTTTTGTTTTTTGCAAATTAAAAGTTTGATTAATAGAAAATTATTGGTTTGAAATGTTTCATATTATTTAATTTAAACCTTTAGATACCGTTTGTAAATCGAGCAATATGGCGAAACTAAACGCACAACAAAAAGAATTAGTGTTTAACTTTAATAATTAACTTTAGTTGTTTTTTATTGTAATTGAAAATAAATAAAAGTCGGCTGATCACATTTACAGCACATTGAAAGTTTTAGTGTCCACTATTTTAATTTTTCAGCTGTCAAAATTTCAATTGCATGGAAAATAGGATAAGATTCTGTTTTTCTCATACGATTAACTTTGATTGGATTGGCCGCTTACAAATCAAATATGTTACAAATTTTGATCACTTCTAAACGCTGCCTTACTCTAAAAAATCTTGACCTCTAAACGCTGCCTTACGGTTAATAATTGTCTTTAATATTCGTATTAATTAAAAAGCAAAAATTTTTTGTGTTAATTTTTCTGATATCTCTTGGCTCTACATTTTCAAATTCATCAATTTTGCGACTATTGAACTTGATATCTCATAATTTTCAACCCCATCTAATTTTAAAACAATACATGAGCGGTGTTCCGCGTCAAAATTTCAAAACTAAAATAGAATACACATATTTAAATAGGACTGTCCGTAATGAAGAAAAATCACCGCCGCTGGTTCATTTGTTTCCATGTGTGAGTGACGTTACTTAGTAGTTGATTATACCGTTCCGCTGTTGTTCAATGTGAACAATGGAAATCGTCTGTCTTTGCTTTTCGCCGCTTTGGCTCAATTTGCACTGCTAGCAGTAAAAATAGGCTAAAGCTAATTTCTCTAATAAAATTTTTTACGAAAATAACAATCTAATCATGTATCTCGATTTTTTTTTTCCTTTTTTATATAATGTCAAATCAGAATTCTCCGTTTTTCAAATGGATATTTCGTTTTTCCAACAAGATTACTCATTTTCTCAAATAAATTTTTGCATTTTTGCTCATATTATTGAGTCAACGTCTCACTTTCATAAACAAAGTGAATAAATTTTGTAGACATTTTAGAAGAATACGAGATACGCAATACCGAATAATTTTTCTATTACTCACTATTAATTACTCACTATCTTTTCACTTGCCGAGTAAAATAGCCGAGTAAAAATTGAAATTTTACTAATGTATCAAAGTCAAATTAATAAAATAAGTGTGTCACCACACTGAAAATTATACCAATGTTCCTGAAAACACACCCCTAGAAAACCTAGTTAATCGAATTTAAGAATTTCATTGCTGACATTTTCACTAGATTCTGACGTCACTGAATCCTCAGAGTTTTTTTTGCAAGTGTAATTTTCCGATATAAATTAGTATAAAATTCTATTTAAATTAAGAAAAAAATTTGAAATTAATTTTAATTTTTGGAATCGAAATTTTATCATCTTTTTTGGAAAATTTTTACAATTTCTATTGAATGTAAAAATCGAATTTAATTTTTCTGGAGAAGATACGTATGTGTGCGTTACCTAAACTAATACATTTGAGTAGTACAATGAAAAAAGTTTTTTAATGAGATTTCTCGAATATTTTTTAATTTGAAAAAATTAATGTAAAATCAAATTGACTTTGTTTTAATCAAAATGTTTTAACATAAAACTTGTAAAATAATTATTAAATGTGCATTTACATTTTAATTTTTTGAATATTGTGCAAATTTTCGAGTGAAAAATTTTGTATCTAATTTTTTTTGAGTGAACGCTTGTAATGAATTCAAAGGCAGACGTAAATAGACGGGTACTCGCTATCCAAGCAAAAAAGAAACGTCATAAGCCTAATAAGAAAAAAGGTAAACCAAATGGTGTTAATAATACGAGTGCAAACGCAAATGCTCAAGTAGGTGGTTCAGGAAATAACAGTTCGCAAACCGGTGCTTTACCAACGACGTCAATTGAGTCTATTCAACAACCATCTCAGCAATTGCAACAGCAGCCACAAACGGCACAGCAACCAGGAAATGGTGGAAAAAATAAAATAAATGCTAATAAAACTAATTCTTTTAGTGCTGGTCTAGGATCTGCAGGTTTGGTAACAAATTTACAAAACTCTTTTGATGTAAATTGTCCAGCACCACCACCGCCTCCAACTATAATGCACAAAGACCAATATAGTAATAAAAAATATAATAATCCACCGCGTAGTTCATCCAACGATTCAGAAGAATCTGAATTGAATAGTGAAGATGAAGAACAGGAATTAAAAGAAGATTATTGTAAAGGTGGTTATCATCCTGTCAATATTGGAGATCTCTTCCAAAGTAAGTACATAATACATTTTTGCATAACATACTCAATATTTTTTTAAAATATCGTTTTGAAATATCACAAAGCACATTTTTTAAGTAACTGAACATACATAAGTAATAACCTATATCTGCCTAATAATTGAAGAAAAAATTTCGGATGGAACAGCTGAATAGCTTGTTCGCTTTTTTTATTTTCACTTTTTTATACTTCCAAAATTAAAATGTGGATAATTTTTTTAGTACATAACAAAAAACGAATTGTTACGAAGCCAAGTAAATTCTGACAGTATAAAAATAGAGAAATAAAAAAATAAATCAGGAATCAAATGAGATTTTTATTAAATGAAAATTTTTACACACATACAAATATTGTGTTAACAACAACACCAAGTGTTTTACTTAATTATTTCCTTTTTATTCTTTGAAATTTTAATTACAAACAGCCATTACCTTAGCAATAAGTAAATTACTTTTATTTTGGAGAAAAAATAAAAATGATTTTTTTCTTTGTTTTTGTGATCAGATTTAATTAATTGTCAAACAAACATAATAGGTAGGTATAGTAATTTTCAAACAAAAAAAAATCTCACACTAGGTGGCTAGCTATAATATCAATTAGTTACCTATGTACCAATGTTTAGGTGAATTGTTGAACAATATAGGTATTGATTTCTGATTAGAAGTTAAAATTCATATGATATGTAAGTTGGTAGGAATGCAAACCTAGACTATTTTAAAAACAACAATATTTAATTATTTAAAAAATGATACTATGATGTGATTTTTCAAAAAATGTCCGTAGATTATCTTCATAAATGTTTTACGCTAAAAATAATAGGAGCTAAATCTCCTATTTTGTAGCTTGATTTGTTGGAAGTAAAAATATTTACTATGAACCTAAAACATATTCTTATGTACATAGTATGTGCATTTATACATACATAGGTAGGTTACCTGCATATGGTAAATTCGCAATCACATAAACGAAAAATGGTGCTTAGATAATAAAATTTTTTATATAAGAAAATTTCAAACATTTTTATGAATTAATTTGCGTATGTAAGAATATAATTTCATTTTTACTTTATTTTTTCTAATACAGTAAGAAATAAGCATAAAATTAATTTATAGCTTAGAAAATGCAATGGGATTTAAAATGCTCATACAGACCAAAGTCTCCGGAACAATTTTAATAATTCAAAACATTTACTAATTTTATTTAGCTTAATGTATCAATGATTAATAAGCCTGAAACTTTATGGATAACTATTTACATACCTACATATATCCATTATTATATAAAGCACAGTTCTCACAAACGTATAATGTGATGTTTTCATATATAAAATTTTGACTGCATACTTATGCTCTCTTAATATTTTTAATGTTAATATTAAAAAAGGTCTAATAAAAAGAAATAAAATATTTAAAAAATTTTTTTTTGGCTAAATTAATTATTATTAACTCATTTAATAAATTAGAATTTTATGATAAAAAACAGTGAAAAGTTAAATAAGCACAAAAAGAATATTTTTTATATTAGGTTAGATTAGAAAAGGAAATCATATTGTGTTCAGTTTCCAACAAAAAATTTGTTAACTGTTATGTACATAACAAATTATGTACATAATAATAATAGAATATTATGTTCATATGCATATATGTACATATATGTTTGTATATATGTAAAAACACAAAAGTAAGGTGTATTAAATATATATTTTGATTTGCTTTTGTTACTGATCTAATAAATTTTAAAAATAAATGTAATTAAATAATACGTATAAAATTAATTGATATTTTCGCCTTGTTTTGTTTGGAAACTTGATATTTAAACCTACAGTCTCAAGGTAATTTAATATTTTTTGTGGTTTTTTAAAATAAGGTAGAATGATGGATAATAGAAAAAATTATTCAACATAAAAAATTCTTAATGTTACTTTTCTTAAGTTTAAACTTGTTAATTTCATTAAGGGAAATTATTTAGGGATGTTTTTGAATTCATTTGTGTATCGTGAGGTAAACGTGAGGTAAAATAAGCTGCCATAACCGCTGATTTAAAGAAATCAAAAGTGTGATGTCATTTTAACGCAATAATATGAAATATTATTCAAATCCAACACAAATATAAATTTTATTAAATTATTAAAGTATTGGCAGTATTTCGTATTGTGAAGAAACGCAACTTTTGACGATGTATCACTTTCCCTGTTGTATCTTCAAAAAAAATTTAAAACGTTACGTACTCCGAATCGTATAAAATTAATTTTTGAAACGCAGAGCAAAGTAAACATTAATTAGCATTTTTCTGTGTAAAAAAAAAACGTCAAATAAATCTAATATTATATTTTTTGCTTTGAATTTTTGTGTAGAAATTTGACAATATGCTCCTAACTTTAACAACGGTAAAAAAGGATTACTAATTTTAAGTGGTAATAAAGACTTTTTTGAAGATTATCTAGAAATGTCAATGGTGAGCAATCGAATCTTTTTAACAAAAAAATTTTTTTTAAATATTGAAGTCTCATTTTACTTAGTTTTGGATTTAAAAGTGGTTGCAAAACTTACGTAAGCTATTGTTTTATGTTTTTTCTATAAGAAAATTTAAGATTTCAATTATTTTTGCTCAAACATAATTAGTAAAAATGATTTCCCATTATTAATTAATTTTTTTTTGTTTTCAACAATTTTTTGAATTTCTCAAAAATTTCACTGTTCGATATTAACAGAAAAATACTGTTATTAAAATAGAATCTACCTTAAGTACTTTATACTTAAGAATAAAAAATAAAAATAATGAAAAATTTGAAAAGTTAACCTTAATGAAAAAGAATGAAAAGATTAGCTGATGTTACAACTAAAATTTTTTGGCAAGTTAGATTAGATCAAAATAACCCGGCTGTCAAAGGATACATTTGGGCAAGGTAGGATTGTTAGGATACCGCTTTTACACTGTTAGTATACATTTTTATTATTTTATTAATATTTTGAATGATTATCAAAATTTTAGTTATTTTATTGAAAGTTAAATTTTATAGTACTTTAATTCTTCCATAGACGACAGAAAATTATTAAATTTTATACGAATTGAGTCGCAAATTAAACCTGAGTAACCATGCTTTAGAATGTTGAAGAATTTTCCTAAACAATGATTCCATATGCTTTTAGTATGTAGACTGAAAATTTAGATTTATATTGTGATTGAAAAGTCACACAATAGTTATTTTTTTTTTATAAAAATTAAGAGTATGATTGTATTATTTGGTCAGAGTTTGGAAAACGATTACATAGCTACTGCTTAATTAACTACAACCAATTTCGAATTTTTAATACTTTATTCAACAAAGGTAAAAACATAAAACAGTTTTCTAAAAGATTTGATTTTGATATAAAAAGAGATTATAAATTTTTCATCAAATATTTTGGCAAAAAATTTATTTTACTTAATTTGCAAAAAACAAAATGTAACGGTAAATTTCTTAACATAAATACATACGTACATTTCTATGCAAGTATATGTATTTAAATTTATTAAAATATATTTACAATATATGTACTTACATATATATGGTTGTATCTTTAAATCATAAGACGAATAAATGCTCTTATATTTAGGCTATATTAATTTATATATTTGTATATATAAATTTACATATTAAATTTATATCTATACGTGCACATAATATAGCAGAACAAAAATAACTTTGTCATGGTTCCAATTGCATGTTGAAAATGAAAATTCATTAAATCGTTTTCAAATTTGTAGAAGAACAGATATAAGAAGAAGAAACATTGAAAGAAAATAATATATTTTAATTTTCAATTATTACAGATTTAGCGTAGAATTTTTTAAAACCCTTATTTGCGATTTCTTTTGAAGAAATATGAACAAAAAAAAAAAAGCAAACTAAATATTTTGTTATCTGTATAGCTATAAATTAAATTTGATTCGTAAGAAAATTGATTTGAAGCTGTTTCAGTTAAGTTAAGCGTATTTTTGAAAATTAAGGTGATTTTACAAAAATTCAGTCCTAACTTAGATCTTAATATAAAGCATGTTCAATAACTCTTTACCAAAAAGCATGTTCGAAGATTTTAGTATGATTTAATTTCTAATGCATTTTTAAAACGCTCCAAAGATATTTTAAATTTGGAAAAAAAATATGTATGTGTAGAAAAATGGAATATATTAAAAATCTGAAAAAGAAAAATAAGTAGTTAGTTGCTGTAGATATGAATTGATGCAAACAAAAGATTTTTAAGGTTTAAGTTGAACTTTAAGTACATATTCAAATTACAGAAAATCTTCTATGATTTATAAAGGACAATTAGATTAAAAGAAATATTTTTGTTTAAACCTTAACAGTTTCATCGTACATGTTAAAGATAATCTTTTTAGAATTCCCTTGTGTACACAAAATCGGCTTCGACCTCTTCCTGCAATTTTATTTATGTTAAAATTAAGTTAATTTTAAAATCAATTTATAAAGACGATCTTTTATCTAAATAAAATAACAGATATAAAGATTTTCAGCCTTGTCACATGTTTATTGTTAAAAAATAAAAAAAAAGAAGTTGTAAAATTGAATCAAAATGTTTTATTGCACGTATTAGACTAAATTCGTTAACCCTGGCAAAATCAAGTTTATTTTAATTATAATTTTGTCTCGCGTGTGACAATCCGCATACGAAACTCCTACATTCAACATGCTTTCAATCTTAATTACTTACCGTCTTTTTAAAAATACTTATAGTTTACAGTACTATAGGATAAATATAAATATAGCAAACTATGCGATTAAATGATTTCTTAAATGAAAAATAAAATTTCAACACTAGAGTGAGTCTGATATTTTCGATAAAAAAAATTTTTGAGTAACCTATTTGAATTTTCTATAAATTTTTTTAAGAATGACCTAATTTGAAACGACCTAATTAAAGCGGAAGTAATTTATAGCTATTTCTTTGTTATTAATTAAAATTTGGAAAAAAAACACATGCAAAATTGAGTT